TCACCAGTGCGTTCTTTCTTTTAAAGAATGTATCAAATAGTTTTTTGGCCACACCTAATGTTTTTGCTATCTCTCTGATGGGTTCAAGCTCTTTGGACTTCATATTGAGGGATAACAGCAACAGATTCCAAATGCAAATGCCACACTTGAAATCAACTCTATACCTTTTATCTCCTTACTTGTTGTCATGAATCCCGCTTCCTGAGTCGGTTTCTGCCTGAGTTGCCTGTTTTCTGTCCTGGAGGTTTTTTTCCCTGAGTTTCCTGAACGCACCCTGTCTGGTTGCCGGGCGACGAAGCAAGGTGGGAGATCTCTCCATTACCCGCACCTGCATCTCATCAGCTATCTGCACACCTGGTTCTGATCATCACCTCTCCACTTCATAAGCTCTGACCTGACATCCATTCCCTGCCGGATCGTTAGCCATGAACATTACTCTCCCGGAATATTCACTCAACCTCTGCCTGGTCGTCTGTGGCTTCAGAAACATCATTGGATCTGCCCATTCACTCCCACCAACTCACCTCCACTGCCAGCTCCGTCACCTGGATTCTCCTGCTTCCACATTTAAGTCTTTAAATAAATACTCACCTTCATTCTACTCACCTTGTCCTGGTCTGCTTCTGGGTTCCGCTTTAGAGAATCGTGACGCTTGTAAATGAACTAATGAGGGAATAACACACACCTGGCCATGGAACAGCTGAGCAGCCAATTGTCCAATTACTTTTGGTCCCTTAAAAAGGGGGGGACCACATATAAAACGTGCTGCAATTCCTACACCATTCCCCCGATTTGGATAAAAAATACCCTCAAATTAAAGCTGAAAGTATGCACTTTCAGCTCATATTCATTATTTAATTTCAACTCCAATATGCTGTGGTAGACAGCTAAAATAATAATAACTTGGTCAATGTCCAAATATTTATTGACCTGACTGTATGTGGTAGTAGAGTAGTGGCCTGAGGGCACACACTTAATGTGTTGTGAAAAGTGTTATGAAATGTAATATTGTATATACTGTAACTGCCTTAATGTTGCTGGAGCCCAGCAAGAGTAGCTGTTGCCTTGGTAGAACTAATAGGCATCCTTAATAAATACAAAAAAACTGTCTAACCCCATCAGGACCCAAAATAGGTTTGTTTTACGGCATTGTTTGTTAACAGTGTAATTATAAACAAAGATGTTATAGCTTCAAAACATGGTTAAAACTACAGTTGTGAGCTCATGGATGGTTAATCCTTCGATCCATATTTCTGTCTATGAATAAGAGAGAGATTACATTTCTCCAGCTCCATCTCTCAGCTGCTTAACAAAACAAGTGCTAGGGTGGTCACTTTGTTGTTTGTCGATTCCCAGATTGCCCTTTTAAAAACATATTAATCCTGAAAACAGAATAGATAATGACCAAAAGCGTTGATGACTTTACGGGTTGTATAATCTCGGCGCCCAGAATCAGGATGTCACGAGACTACAGGTATTATCGTTTATTATTTTCATAATTAAGTCTGGGACACTCACTAACATTGACATTTTAGTCATTTTAGTTAGTAGACGCTCTTATCCAGTTGATGTCTTGAAGATGAACCCTGTCCCTGACACAAGTAGCCTACCTTATGATTTTCCTTTTTTGAGTAATCTACAGAACAACATTAGAAAAACATTTTCCCAGAAATTAAGACGTAAATGCTAGCTTTTTCCATAGCCCATTAACACTGACCATATGGTGGTCTAAAAGCCTGTCTTTTGCACTGCAACACCTGGGCAGGTAAGTATGATTTTTTTTAAACTTTAATACAAATGGCTATATATTTACCGTGAACGACTGTCAACTTACCAAATTTGCTGTCAGCGGAGGTAGTTGGAAGAGACAGGAAAAGAGCCAACACAACGAAGATGGAAGACGGCGAATCCATTACTCTTACTAGTCTAATCCATTGCACACCTTTGCTAAAACATAATAGTGTCAGTGTTAAATACAGGATGATCCAAAATTGATGGATGAGATAACTGCGAGTGAAAGTAGAAATATGAGATTTGCAGAGCAATTTCTCGGGTCTGCCACTTCTCTTCCGCAGTCGCGACAGGATTCAGCACCGCGGACAGCACCCGTCAGAAGGCGCCCCTCCTAGGTTCTGACGTCAAACACACATGGCGAGAGGCCCATGCCTGGTCTTTAAGCTTGCACCTACAGTGCGCAATAATGAATGGTTAGCCAGTCTGGTTTGCCAGTCTCACCACGAAAATAGTAGAAGTTTAGAAGTTTATTAAATGAAGCTCGAGAGTAGCCAATATAGAGGTAAAACCAAAAAATATGCTATAGCAATAAATCCAAGTGGGCATGAGGTAAGTCTTTATCGCAGAAAGCCAGTTACTCTCTACACTATTTATATTCATAGAGGGGACTGGCACCAGGGTTCAAACACCAGCTGGAAGGAGAATTAATTGATTTAAATTGCATCGCAAATGGCACCCTTTCCCATACAGTGAGGGAAAAAAGTATTTGATCCCCTGCTGATTTTGTACGTTTGCACACTGACAAAGAAATGATCAGTCAATAATTTTAATGGTAGGTTTATTTGAACAGTGAGAGACAGAATAACAATAAAAAAATCCAGAAAAACGCATGTCAAAAATGTTATACATTTATTTGCATTTTAATGAGGGAAATAAGTATTTGACCCCTCTGCAAAAAATGACTTAGTACTTGGTGGAAAAACCCTTGTTGGCAATCACAGAGGGAAGATGTTTCTTGTAGTTGGCCACCAGGTTTGCACACATCTCAGGAGGGATTTTGTCCCACTCCTCTTTGCAGATCTTCTCCATGTCATTAAGGTTTCGAGGCTGACGTTTGGCAACTCGAACCTTCAGCTTCCTCCACAGATTTTCTATGGGATTAGGGTCTGGAGACTAGCTAGGCCAGTCCAGGACCTTAATGTGCTTCTTCTTGAGCCACTCCTTTGTTGCCTTGACCGTGTGTTTTGGGTCATTGTCATGCTGGAATACCCATCCACAACCCATTTTCAATGCCCTGGCTGAGGGAAGGAGGTTCTCACCCAAGATTTGACGGTACATGGCCCTGTCCATCGTCCCTTTGATGCAGTGAAGTTGTCCTGTCCCTTTATAAAAAAAACACCCCCAAAGCATAATGTTTCCACCTCCATGTTTGACGGTGGGGATGGTGTTCTTGGGGTCATAGGCAGCATTCTTCCTCCTCCAAACACGGCGAGTTGAGTTGATGCCAAAGAGCTCGATTTTGGTCTCATCTGACCACAACACTTTCACCCAGTTCTCCTCTGAATCATTCAGATGTTCATTGGCATACTTCAGACGGGCATGTATATGTGCTTTCTTGAGCAGGGGGACCTTGCGGGCGCTGCAGGATTTCAGTCCTTCACAGCGTAGTGTGTTACCAATTGTTTTCTTGGTGACTATGGTCCCAGCTGCCTTGAGATCATTGACAAGAGCCTCCTGTGTAGTTCTGGGCTGATTCCTCACCGTTCTCATGATCATTGCAACTCCACGAGGTGAGATCTTGCATGGAGCCCCAGGCCGAGGGAGATTGACAGTTCTTTTGTGTTTCTTCCATTTGCGAATAATCGCACCAACTGTTGTCACCTTCTCACCAAGCTGCTTGGCGATGGTTTTGTAGCCCATTCCAGCCTTGTGTAGGTCTACAATCTTGTCCCTGACATCCTTGGAGAGCTCTTTGGTCTTGGCCATGGTGGAGAGTTTGGAATCTGATTGATTGATTGCTTATGTGGACAGGTGTCTTATACATGTAACAAACTGAGATTAGGAGCACTCCCTTTAAGAGTGTGCTCCTAATCTCAGCTCGTTACCTGTATAAAAGACACCTGGGAGCCAGAAATCTTCCTGATTGAGAGGGGGTCAAATACTTATTTCCCTCATTAAAATGCAAATCAATTTATAACATTTTTGACATGCGTTTTTCTGGATTTTTGTTGTTGTTATTCTGTCTCTCCCTGTTCAAATAAACTACCATTACAATTATAGATTGATCATTTCTTTGTCAGTGGGCAGACGTACAAAATCAGCAGGGGATCAAATACTTTTTTCCCTCACTGTATATAGTGCACTACTATTGACCTTGGCCCGGATTCCCAAAAGCATCTTAAGGCGAAGTTCATGTTAGAACCATATGATCTAATGCCTTAAGATGCTTTTGGGAAACCGTGCCCAGAGCCTTATAGGCCTTAGGCAAAAGTAGTGCATTAACAACAGTACAGGATATTAGCACATATAGTTGGAATAAGCATCTGAATAAACAAGTGAATATCTTTCTTTTATTGTAAGGCTGTATAAACAGTAGCGGGATCATTCTAAAATACCATACCACAATATATCATATCTTCTCAAGTTTATACATGCATGGAAAATCTGGACTGTTTGTGTTGGGTGGAACATAACTAAATGCAAACAAACTACATTTCCATTAATACATTGTTCAAACCTTAACACAACACCTAGCGACTTTATCAAGCAGTTTGGACCTCTTGGCATAACGATTAAGGTGTTGGCTTGACAGTCGCTGGGTTCGAGTCACAGTCGGGGCTACCCACCGAATTCTCTACAATATGATATATATACACTTTATACAGGTAGATAGGTGGTAACCTGCTGCTGGGCATCTCTGCCTGTCGCACATCCAGCGGTGCCCGTAAACCAGCTAGAGGGTCATCACCCGGCGACCACCACTCCTCAACGTTACGCTCCTTATCCCGGTACGTCTCCTGGTGGCAGAGCAGTGGCAGGGACGTCTACCTGTCACCCCCTGCAGCTGGCCTTCCTTCAGATCTTAGTTTCCCAACTCCTGTCCTTCCTCCTTAGCCACAGAAACTAACCTTCTCTGCCAGTCGTGGAGCATAACTAAATGCAAACTATATTTCCTTCAATAAATTGTGCAAACATGTACTATAAGATAAAATAAGAATCCACAATGACATGGTTGAAACTCACATTTCAATGTATTTTCAGCAGTTACTTAGCAATGTTACACACAGTTCAGTTTATGCAGCATACAGTATCCTGACGCAATACATAAATCCAAAACGCAAATACAAGTCATGCTGTATACACCATGATCGCACAGGATAGAAAAACTTAGAAAAATAGAACAGAATAGAAAAATAGATGACACTGGGTACCAAAAAATAATTAGTAAATGTTAAATGTGTAAATGTTGTTCTCTCGTTCTTGCCCCCTCATGGGCATGGCATCAGAATCTCATTCAAAGTGTTGATAGCGGATTCGTAGATTACCCTGGAGAAAGATTTTTTGTTGTTGTTGAATTTAATGTAATCTTGTGGTTGCTATTTTGTTATTTGAAAATATAATTTGACATCTTACAATTCCCAATTTACGAGCACGTTTCCTTAATGTTCAGGGTACATGCTAACTAACAACTCGAAAATACTTTAATTGTCTTAAAAACATACAAAAGGTCCCAAACTGCACCCTATTCCCTATATTAGTGCACTCCTTTTGATCAGAGCCATTTGGCCTTGGTCAAAAGTAGTGCCATTTGGATGCCATTTGGGACAACCCTTACAACGTTCATTAATCTAGTTACCTCTGGATGTGTCCTTCATTCTCAGCCTTGACAGCGTAATGTTTCTGAAGCTGCCTCTGGACGGACACGGCTGTACTCTTCAGATCTTCCTTAAACTTCCCAGCTGGAACAAAAACAGGCAATCATTACAGGCCAGCTACACCGGATACAGAACTTCTCGGATTAATTTCAATGAAACCTTGGTGTAAGCAACTGGCTCAGGCCCGAGAACAGTTGATAGTGGCACGCGCCCTGCTCACGGCAAAAAAAGCTACACTCCCAGTGTAGCTGCTAAAAACATTTAGCCACGCCCTGTTAGAAACTATTCATAAATGTGAAAATTATTTTTTTATCAATATAAAAGACTCTTTATTGCAACTTATTTTTCTCACTCTGTCTGACAACTGCCAGAATGTGAAGAACTGCAGCCAATCCGGTTAGACCATCAATGACCTCGGAGTCGACAGTTGAGTTGATCTCTGCCAGGAAGGCCCTGAAAAAGAGGCCTTGGTTTATAAACAAAAATGAGGACAAAAGTACAGTATATATTCCATTGCTGGAGCTCTTTGTATGAAATTGTGTGGTGTTGACGGTGTTTGTTCTTCCTCTTGTTCTTCCTTTTTGTGTGGGAAAAATCTATACAAATATTTATCACAAAAAAAGGAAACTGAACTGAGCCAGTCATTGTGCGTAGTAATAGAAAGCAGCAACGCTTGGAGTGTAGTTGGTTGATTACCTGGTGACCGGGGGCGATTTGAGGAGAACATCCAACAAGATGCTTGAGAGAGGAGGCAAATCCTGGACCGTCTCTGGTGTTGTGACCTCTTGAGGATGTGAAATCTATGACGGAACAGTTTTAAGTTCAGCGCAGACGAAATATAGTACATGTTCTTTATTCGCAAACTATCAACATTTGGAATCACATTTTCTATCTAGGAAAATAGTGTTTGTTGTGTATCAGCCATCTTTGTTACTTTTTGCAGGGAGTGTTGGGTCGCAGCGAGGGTGGCAGCACAGATGGTTGAAAACACCCCGTTTAGGGGGTTTGAGTCGACGCCCGACCAAGCCTGAACCACCTGGAGGAAGTCTCCTAGAGCGGGAACAGCTGAGTACCACAGCTACAACAGCCAGGGGAGAGAGAAACAACCTTAAATCATCTATTCACATTTGCAACCTGAACAGGGCCATATCTATCCATCTGTCTATATTTTATTTATTTTACCCTTATTTAACTAGGCAAGTCAGTTAAGAACAAATTCTTATTTACAATGACGGCCTACACCGGCCAAACCCGGACGACGCTGGGCCAATTGTGCGCCGCCCTATGGGACTCCCAATCACGGCCGGTTGTGATACAGCCTGGAATCGAACCAGGGGGTCTGTAGTGACGCCTCAAGCATTGAGATGCAGTGCCTTAGACCACTGCACCACTCGGGAACCTTATGTCTGCATCTTGTCTTCAGAAAGGCCACTAGGCAAAAACATTGACCAAATTGCCATGTCCACTTTTGTGAACATACACAAATACAGACCAGCAGCATTCTTGCCTCCCAGCCTTGAAATGTTTTATTGGAAAATACTTGCAAACACAGTTAAGAAAGATGCATACCTATTCATATGTTTACCTAAAGAAAGTAGGTTGAACTACAATTCCATATCCTTGCATTTTCAGCGACACCTCCAAAACTGGATCATCAAACACCTGTCAGGTGGATGCAGCTTCAGACAGTCACATCAAGCGGAAAGCTTTAACCTTTTCTGACGCCACAATCACAGCTTTCAGACTGATTTCAAATGTCTCTCCCTACTCATCTCAAAAGCAGGTAGAACCCTGTCAAAAGCTTCTCTCAGATCTGTCAAAAGCTTCTCCTCCTCTCTCTCTTCTTCTTTTCTCTTCCCCTCTCTTCCTCTCTCTCAACTTCAAGGCTGTATTTACTTTGTCGCTATCCCCAGAATCATTCTCAGAAAGCAGCACAGCATCTTAGCTTGTAGCTAAATCTGTTGACGCTTTAACCAAGCTACTGGGTGATCATTCACAGAAAACGATGGTTAAATGAAAGGGAGAGACTTAAAGAAACATATAATGCATCTTCACCTAACACCTAACTGGAGTGGATATTTAGAGGGGCGATCTGCGATTGGAAATACAACAAAATGGTCATCCCCGCCCCTTGTTTTCGTAAACAGTCGAGGGATGGGGCTAAAGGAATGTTGAAACTGAAATTCTCTGCCATGTACGGGTCTCTAAGACAAACAATTATTTGATTAAATATTGAGTTTTGCCTTCACTGCTATAGCCTATAAAAACACATTGAATAGCACGTTCATAAATGGCAAAAAAAGTGTCAAAAAATAAATAAGGAATAAGGTTTTGAAGTGTCTGTCCTATATCTAGGAGATACAGTTGAAATTGGAAGTTTATATACACCTTAGCCAAATACATTTAAACTCAGTTTTTCACATTTCCTGACATTTAATACCAGTAAAAATTCCCTGTCTTAGGTCAGTTAGGACCACCACTATTTTAAGAATATGAAACGTCAGAATAATAGTAGAGAGAATGATTTATTTCAGCTTTTACTTCTTTCATCACATTCCCAGTGGGTCAGAAGTTTACATACACTCAATTAGTATTTGGTAGCATTGCCTTTAAATTGTTTAACTTCGGTCAAACGTTTCAGGTAGCCTTCCACAAGCTTCCCACAATAAGTTCCTCCTGACAGAGCTGGTGTAACTGAGTCAGGTTTGTAGGCCTCCTTGCTCGCAGACGCCTTTTCAGTTCTCTGTGGGAGAACCATAAAGAAGGACAACCATCTCTGCAGCACTCCACCAATCAGGCCTTTATGGTAGAGTGGCTATACGGAAGCCACTCCTCACTAAAAGGCACGATAGCCCGCTTGCAGTTTGCCAAAAGGCACCTAAAGACTCTCAGACCATGAGAAACAAGATTGAACTCTTTGGCCTAAATGACAAGTATCACGTCTGGAGGAAACCTGGCACCATCCCTACGGTGAAGCATGGTGGTGGCAGCATCATGCTGTGGGGATGTTTTTCAGCGGCAGGTACTGGGAGACTAGTCAGGATCGAGGCAAAGATGAACGGAGCAAAGTACAGAGAGCTCCTTGATGAAAACCTGCTCCAGAGCGCTCAGGACCTCAGACTGGGGGCGAAGGTTCACCTTCCAACAGGACAACGACCCTAAGCACAGAGCCAAGACAACGCAGGAGTGGCTTTGGGACAAGTCTCTGAATGTCCTTGAGTGGACTAGCCAGAGCCCGGACTTGAACCCGATTGAACATCTCTGGAGAGACCTGAAAATAGCTGTGCAGCGACGCTTCCCATCCAACCTGACAGAACTTTAGAGGATCTGCAGAGAAGAATGGGAGAAACTCCCCAAACACAGGTGTGCCAAGCTTGTAGTGTCGTACCCAAGAAGACTCAAGGCTGTAATCGCTGCCAAAGGTGCATCAACAAAGTACTGAGTAAAGGGTCTGAATACTTATGTAAAATGTAATATTTCAGTTTCTTTCTTTTCATACATTTGCAAAAATGTCTAAAAACCTGTGTTTGCTTTGTCATTATGGGGTATTGTGTGTAGATTGATATCTATCTATCTATCTATCTAGTCTCATAGTAGGAGTGCAGTTTAGTCCTTTAGCTCAGTGGTTCCCAACCAGGGGTTCTAGGAACCCTGGGGGTACTTGGCCTATCCACAGGGGGTACTTGAGAGGACTCATGAGACCATAGGCGTACTGGTAAAATGCACATGAGGGGGTACTTCAGGGGTACTCCAGGCAGAGCAAAATGTAGTTGGTGGTACAGTAACCGAAAAAGGTTGGGAACACTGCTTTAGATCACAATGAATAACATTACATGGACGGCGGGAGCAGATTCTAGATCCTCCTCTGAGAAGCTTGATACATATGGCCCCAGAGCTGCTTCTGTTGTTGGGCCAAATAGGCATTCAAACCATCAAGGCATTTGGGACACAGCCATCCTCCTCACCTCCTGGCCCTCCTCAGGGTCCTTCCTTAGGCGGCGAGCCATGACCTCCAGGATCTTCTGGAAGACGTTGGTGACCACGCTGAGGATGATGGAAGACTGGTCGTCCTGGGCCTGGTTCTCGGGGACGTAGTTCTCCGCCACCTCCGTCAGCACAAAGAACAGCAGAGGAACACACAGGTAGCCCTTCTCTGAGAACACAACATAACAAAACACACACCTCAGTCAAATTTCCTCACAGACACAATGAAATGAGACAAGTGGCCTAGTCCAGTCAACAACTATTCTAGAGAATCTACAGTTCTAAATGTTCCTCATAGAAAAGCTGATTTACAGATGGTCAAAAATTGCCCTAAAATGGCATGTTTCTTCATATAGATTCCGCATGTCTCTATAATTGTATATGTTTAGTGTAGATATACTCACCAGAGAGGAGCACGATGGAGCACAGGTGAAGGATCTGCCCTTTGAACTCCTCGTCCCCAAGACCCACCCGGATCACATCTCTGCACACCATCAGTAAACTCTGCCAAACATCACCGCAACGTTAGAGCAATGTTGTCACTCCACAAAGAGGGATAGAAAAATGACATTGATGTTTCTTTATTGTATCAGCATAGTAATTCAGAGTTTGTAATGCGACTGTTTTTAAGAACCTGGAATAATGCTGAAAGACCAACTAAACAAACTATATTATGGGACAATATTTTTTTAATTAATTAATTCAAAATTACATTTTGTGCTAATTTGTCCTGAAAACGTTGCATTGAATAAGCCACCATACCGTAGTATCTTAATCTCAAGTGTTGGTGCTGGAGCTCTATAGAGTTAGTGGAAGCAACAGAAGTGGGTATTAAGATAAATGAGGGGTTTATTTTCAATATCTGATCAAAGCAGCAGCATCTGGGTGACACACTTGAGAGAGTAATGGAAGAAATAACTATAGAAGCCCATTTCAAATAATAAATGAGTCCATCTTGCGCTCTGGGAGTTGGAGGCATCCAACGGAGGGCTGATACGTGAGAGTGTGGACCTGAGCTGAATAACAATCTATGAAATAGACTATTCTGCGTCCCAAATGGCACCTTATTCCTTATGTAGTGCACTACTTTTGACCAAGGCCTATAGTGCACTAAATAGGGAATAGGGTGCCATTTAGGATGGAAGCCTCAGTCTGTTTATAGACTGAAAGCATAGGAAAGATTGAAGCACAATAATTGATCTACTGACCATAATACCATAAAGCTGCTCGTACATTACACCTAATGTCGTGGCTAATACTGTAACAGTGTTATACACAACTATATTCTACCGCTATTCTTTTATGTCTCATATATTTGATAAAGTCTAATGCTATTTTACGCATGTGTTAAGGTTTTCAGTAAACCAATTTGTGACCGCATCTGATGTAAAAAGGGGATTATTAAATACATTTGATTTGATTTACTTTCCCTCCGTCTCCAGGTAAAGCAGGGGTGTCGAACACAATTCCTGGAGGGCCGAGTGTCTGGTTTTTTGCTCCTGCCTTGAATGATCAATTAAGGTAATTGATTAGTTAGGAGTTCCCCCTCAACTGGTTGTCTAGGTCATAGTTGGACACAAATTGAAATAAAATAACACACCCAGCAAACACACAGACCTCCAGGAATTGAGTTTGACACCTCTGAGGTACCGCTGAGTACTGAAGACAGAATTAACTCTTAGGTCTTCTGTACAAAACTACAGTGTAAACCCCGTCCTGTGTTTGATACCGGCTACCCTTTCCAGAGGGTCGTACTTACCTCTACCACCTGCCTGGCGAGGTCCCGCTGCTGCTCAGTGACACCTCCCTCACTGGGGCTGACCAGGAAGGGCAGCACCCTCTCTGCCACCCACACTGCCATGTTCTCCACAGGGACCAGGAAATCCCTCCCCTCAGAGAACTGGGAAAGCAAACAACGGTAGTTGTAGCAAGCCCAGGTGGTTATAAAATGTGGTTATAGCCAAAACACTGCACAGACCAGTAGTTATTTCCCAAATACTGTCTACTAGATCTGGGACGATAAACCAAAATTACCTATACTGCTCAAACCGACACTCATCGAAGACATTTAGCTGATATCGTTAGTAGCCTATACTTGACTAGAGATACAGTGGGGGAAAAAAGTATTTAGTCAGCCACCAATTGTGCAAGTTCTCCCACTTAAAAAGATGAGAGGCCTGTAATTTTCATCATAGGTACACGTCAACTATGACAGACAAATTGAGAAAAAAAAATCCAGAAAATCACATTGTAGGATTTTTTATGAATTTATTTGCAAATTATGGTGGAAAATAAGTATTTGGTCACCTACAAACAAGCAAGATTTTTGGCTCTCACAGACCTGTAACTTCTTCTTTAAGAGGCTCCTCTATCCTCCACTCGTTACCTGTATTAATGGCACCTGTTTGAACTTGTTATCAGTATAAAAGACACCTGTCCACAACCTCAAACAGTCACACTCCAAACTCCACTATGGCCAAGACCAAAGAGCTTTCAAAGGACACCAGAAACAACATTGTAGACCTGCACCAGGCTGGGAAGACTGAATCTGCAATAGGTAAGCAGCTTGGTTTGAAGAAATCAACTGCGGGAGCAATTATTAGGAAATGGAAGACATACAAGACCACTGATAATCTCCCTCGATCTGGGGCTCCACGCAAGATCTCACCCCGTGCCAGACGTGTCCCCCTGCTTAAGCCAGTACATGTCCAGGCCCGTCTGAAGTTTGCTAGAGTGCATTTGGATGATCCAGAAGAGGATTGGGAGAATGTCATATGGTCAGATGAAACCAAAATATAACTTTTTGGTAAAAACTCAACTCGTCGTGTTTGGAGGATAAAGAATGCTGAGTTGCATCCAAAGAACACCATACCTACTGTGAAGCATGGGGGTGGAAACATCATGCTTTGGGGCTGTTTTTCTGCAAAGGGACCAGGACGACTGATCCGTGTAAAGGAAAGAATGAATGGGGCCATGTATCGTGAGATTTTGAGTGAAAACCTCCTTCCATCAGCAAGGGCATTGAAGATGAAACGTGGCTGGGTCTTTCAGCATGACAATGATCCCAAACACACCGCCCGGGCAACGAAGGAGTGGCTTCTTAAGAAGCATTTCAAGGTCCTGGAGTGGCCTAGCCAGTCTCCAGATCTCAACCGCATAGAAAATCTTTGGAGGGAGTTGAAAGTCCGTGTTGCCCAGCGACAGACCCAAAACATCACTGCTCTAGAGGAGATCTGCATGGAGGAATGGGCCAAAATACCAGCAACAGTGTGTGAAAACCTTGTGAAGACTTACAGAAAACGTTTGACCTGTGTCATTGCCAACAAAGGGTATATAACAAAGTATTGAGAAACTTTTGTTATTGACCAAATACTTATTTTCCACCATAATTTGCAAATAAATTCATTAAAAATCCTACAATGTGATTTTCTGGAAAGAAAATTCTCATTTTGTCTGTCATAGTTGACGTGTACCTATGATGAAAATTACAGGCCTCTCTCATCTTTTTAAGTGGGAGAACTTGCACAATTGGTGGCTGACTAAATACTTTTTTTCCCCACTGTATGTGAAGTTTGAAATGAAATACACTACCGGTCAAAAGTTTTAGAACAAATCAAATCAAATGTTATTGGTCACATACACGTGTTTAGCAAAATGCTTGTGCTTCTAGCTCCGACAGTGCAGTAATATCTAACAAGTAATCGAACAATTTCACAACATATACCCAATACACCCAAATCTAAGTAAGGAATGAATTAAGAATATATACAGTACCAGTCAAAAGTTTGGACACCTACTCATTCAAGGGTTTTTCTTAATTTTTTACTATTTTCTACATTGTAGAATATAAGTGAAAACATCAAAACTATGAAATAACACATATGGAATCATGTAGTAACCAAAAAAAGTGTTAAACAAATCAAAATATATTTTATATTTGATTCTTCAAATAGCCACCCTTTGCCTAGATGACAGCTTTTTTGGTTACCTCATGATTCCATGTGTTATTTCATAGTTTTGATGTCTTCACTATTATTCTACAATGTAAAAAACTGTAAAAATAAAGAAAATCCCTTGAATGAGTAGGTGTGTCCAAACTTTTGACTGGTAGTGTACATAAACTGAGTAAAAAAAGAAACGTCCTCTCACGGTCAACTGTGTTTATTTTCAGCAAATTAACATGTGTAAATATTTGTATGAACATAACAAGATTCTCATAAACTGAACAAGTTCCACAGACATGTGACTAACATAAATTGAATAATGTGTCCCTGAACAAAGGGGGGGTCAAAATCAAAAGTAACAGTCAGTATCTGGTGTGGCCACCAGCTGCATTAAGTACTGCAGTGCATCTCCTCCTCATGGACTGCACCAGATTTGCCAGTTCTTGCTGTGAGATGTTACCCCACTCTTCCACCAAAGCACCTGCAAGTTCCCGGACATTTCTGGGGGGAATGGCCCTAGCCCTCACCCTCCGATCCAACAGGTCCCAGACGTGCTCATGGGATTGAGATCCGGGCTCTTCGCTGGCCATGGCAGAACACTGACATTACTGTCTTGCAGGAAATCACGCACAGAACGAGCAGTATGGCTGGTGGCATTGTCATGCTGGAGGGTCATGTCAGGATGAGCCTGCAGGAAGGGTACCACATGAGGGAGGAGGTTGTCTTCCCTGTAATGCACAGCGTTGAGATTGCCTGCAATGACAACAAGCTCAGTCCGATGATGCTGTGACACACCGCCCCAGACCTTGACGGACCCTCCACCTCCAAATCGATCCCGCTCCAGAGTACAGGCCTCGGTGTAACGCTCATTCCTTCGACGATAAACGCGAATCCGACCATCACCCCTGGTGAGACAAAACCGCGACTCGTCAGTGAAGAGCACTTTTTGCCAGTCTGGTCCAGCGACGGTGGGTTTGTGCCCATAGGCGACGTTGTTGCTGGTGATGTCTGGTGAGGACCTGCCTTACAACAGGCCTACAAGCCCTCAGTCCAGCCTCTCTCAGCCTATTGCGGACAGTCTGAGCACTGATGGAGGGATTGTGCGTTCCTGGTGTAACTCGGGCAGTTGTTGTTGCCATCCTGTACCCGTCCCGCAGGTGTGACGTTCGGATGTACCGATCCTGTGCAGGTGTTGTTACACGTGGTCTGCCACTGCGAGGACGATTAGCTGTCTGTCCTGTCTCCCTGTAGCGCTGTCTTAGGCGTCTCACAGTACGGACATTGCAATTTATTGTCCTGGACACATCTGCAGTCCTCATGCCTCCTTGCAGCATGCCTAAGGCACGTTCACGTAGATGAGCAGGGACCCTGGGCATCTTTCTTTTGGTGTTTTTCAGAGTCAGTAGAAAGGCCTCTTTAGTGTCCTAAGTTTTCATAACTGTGACCTTAATTGCCTACCGTCGTAAACTGTTAGTGTCTTAACGACCGTTCCACAGGTGCATGTTCATTCATTGTTTATGGTTCATTGAACAAGCATGGGAAACAGTGTTTAAACCCTTTACAATGAAGATCTGTGAAGTTATTTGGATTTTTACAAATTATCTTTGAAAGACAGGGTCCTGAAAAAGGGACGTTTCTTTTTTTTGCTGAGTTTATATGGACGAGCGATGTCAGAGCGGCATGGATTAAGATACAGTAGAATAGTATAGAATACAGTATATACACATGAGATGAGTAATGCAATATATATAAACATTATTAAAGTGACTAAGATACCCTACTCATTCAACGGTTTTTCTTTATTTGTACACATTTTGACATTGTAGAATAATAGTGAAGACATCAAAACTATGAAATAACACATTGAATCAAGTAGTAACCAAAAAAAGTGTTAAACAAATCAAAATATATTATATATTTGAGATTCTTCAAAGTAGCCACCCTTTGCCTTGATGGCAGCTTTGCACACTCTTGGCATTCTCTCAACCAGCTTCATGGAGGTAGTCACCTGGAATGCATTTCAATTAACAGGTGTGCCTTCTTCAAAGTTAATTTGTGGAATTTATTTCCTTCTTAATGCGTTTGAGCCAATCAGTTGTGTTGTGACAAGGTACCAAATAGGGCTAAGTTCATATTATGGCAAGAACAGCTCAAATAAGCAATGAGAAACGACAGTCTATCATTACTTAAAAAATATGAAGGTCAGTCAATCTGGAAATCTTCAAGAAATGTGAAAGTTTCTTCAAGTGCAGTCGCAAAAACCATCAAGCGCTATGATGAAACTGGCTCTCATGAGGACCACCACAGGAAAGGAAGACCCAGAGTTACCTCTGCTGCAGATGCCTCAGAAATTGCAGCCCAAATAAATGCTTCACAGAGTTCAAGTAACAGACATCTCAACATCAACTGTTCAGAGGAGACTGTGTGAATCAGGCCTTCATGGTCAAATTGCTGCAAAGAAACCACTACTAAAGGACACCAATAATAAGAAGAGACTTGCTTGGGCCAAGAAACACGAGCTATTTGTCCTTTGGTCTGGAGTTCAATTTGGAGATTTTTGGTTCCAATCGCCGTGTCTTTGTGAGACGCGGTGTGGGTGAACGGATGATCTCTGCATGTGTAGTTCCCACCGTAAAGCATGGAGGAGGAGGTGTTATGGTGTGGGGGTGCTTTGCTGGTGACACTGTCTATTATTTATTTAGAATTCAAGGCAGTTAACCAGCATGGCTACCACAGCATTCTGCAGCGATACGCCATCCCATCTGGTTTGGGCTTAGTGGAACTATCATTTGTTTTTCAACTGGACAATGACCCAACACACCTCCAGGCTGTGTAAGGGCTATTTTACCAAGAAGGTGATGGAGTGCTGACCTGGCCTCCACAATCCCCCGACCTCAACCAAATTGAGATGGTTTGGGATGAGTCGGACCGCAGAGTGAAGGAAAAGCAGCCAACAAGTGCTCAGCATATGCGGGAACTCCTTCAAGACTGTTGGAAAAGCATTCCAGGTGAAGCTGGTTGAGAGAATGCCAAGAGTGTGCAAAGCTGTCATCAAGGCAAAGGGTGGCTATTTAAAGAATCTCAAATATAAATAGATTTGTTTAACACTTTTTTGGTTATTACATGTTTCCATATGTGTTATTTCATAGTTTTGATGTCTTCACTATTATTCTACAATGTAGAAACTAGTAAAAATAAAGAAAAACCCTTGAATGACTAGGTATTGTAAAACTTTTGACCGGTAGGGTGACTGCTAATGAGAAGAAGAAGGAAGAAGGAAGAAGAAGATTTAAGAAATAATAAATAAATAAATAAAACACGGATGCACATTAGTGTTATAAAGTTATCGTTGTATTTATTACTAGCATAACAATTTATCGTGGGCAAAGCAATACTGTACACAGATTTGTTACAAAGCAGAGGCATGTAGGTGATGGGACTCACTTTGTGCTGTAGATGGGCACTGAGACGTGCGTGAAGGGCAAACGCCCTCAGTGCTGTTTCTGCTCTGGGAATATTGGCCTGGGTCTCAGAAGAGCTCAGATGGGATAACAGCACTGACTGAGAAAGCAAACATGACACAGGATCACACCTCTGCACATAGCCTCTCACCGCACATAGAACCAATAAATAAAACTCTATAATTATATTATCTACTCTACCTTCCAGGCCCCGAGGGCTTTGTGCAGCTGTTTGAGCTGGCCCTGCCTGAAGGGCAGGATGCAGTCCCGCGTGGAGGTACGGCTGACCAGGTACTCCAGGTAATCTAGCCCTAGGTCTGGTTTGGCCTCCACCGTCTCCTGGATGCGCACTTTCCGACTGGTGTTCCCTTTGCCCTGTGGAGAAGGGGGAGCAGGGAGGCGGGGTAATGTTCATTGATGTCATGATTACATCTCAGTACCCAACTATAAGAGCATTAAGGCAATGTTTTTGAAGACAAACTTGTTTACTCAGAATAAAGTAAACTTAGTAAGATGTTTTACTATGCAGATGGATCACTCCTTTCTCCATTACAATGCCTAATATATAAATATCCCAAGGAGCCACCGAGGGTCTCACTGAGGCATCCCTATTCATCTGTGCCTGCATCTCAAATAGCACCCTTTCCCTATATACTGCACTACTTTTGACCAGAGAACCTATGGACCCTGGTCAAAAGTAGTGCACTATATAGAGAATAGGGTGGTATTTGTGACGCGACCTCAGTGCGTGTTGCTTACCGCGGCGGTGGGTAACGCATCAGTGAGCCAGTCTGTGACGAGCTCCAGGACGTGTGCGGCCTGGCCCCAGCTACACAGGCACTCGATGATCTGACTGTACTGGGACACCTTGGCCCCCGCCTCCAGCCTCTTCAGCCTGGACAGCACCCCACAGCTGGAACACAGGGACCAGAGAAACAGGGTTAACACAGACAGAGACAGAGAGAGTGAGAGTCTGAAGACCAATATAAGACAAGTTAGCAGGACTCCACAGACCTGAAAGTGGGGACAGAAGCTGGGGGCAGTAGGGAGGCTAGTTGGATGAGGGGAACTGTACAACACTCCTCCTGAAAGAGAGAGAAACAAGGTGAGGACACCTTAAATGATGGCGAAGATATCTGGGGTGCGTTCCAATAATCTCTCCTTCTTCCTAAAGTGTGAACTCATTCACTACTCCCCACACATTTAAAAGCATTGGATTGGTACAGCATGGGCTAGAGGGAGTTTCCATAAACCACTCATTTCCTTTCAAATCTATGAAGGGAAGTGAACAAGTGCTCACTTAAGAGAAATTAGAGATTATTGGGACACAACCTCGGTGTGACTGCCACAGGGTGAAATCCAGTCCACCTCATACCTGGAAGACATTGAAGTACTTGGGCACGACGGAGCCAAACTTGACAGTGGTGTACTGGAGGGCGTCCTTGTTGAGCTGCAGGGCTTTCCGGATACTCCGCCACAAGATCACCACTACCTCCAGCAGACTGGCCATGGACGCCGTGTCCTTGACCGACAGGACATCCTCCAGAACCTGGGATTTGAAATACAACAAAGCAGGGCACCGCGCAACTTGTTGTGGTAAACAGCTGAGCGATGGGGCTGGAGAAATATAGAATCCAGTAGGTACTTCCCACTCAAACCATAGAAAGGAAAACACCAAGGAGGCCTACTGTTCATTCTAGCCTGAGCGCAAACCCTCATACTAGCTTTCTATGCTGGAGACATGTAAAACACTTAAATTCATAGACAGAGCTATGGATGCAAGGACTGACCATCCATGAGACGAAAATGATCGTTTTTACCATGTCTTGAAGCTAGAATGTATTTGTTTAGAACTTCATTAAAAACAATGGCGTAAAACTAGATTATACGACAGTTGAACTAAGCTGAGGCATTTAGCTGAAGGGGTGGAATGTACTAATTCCAGATTGTAATTTGAATGATGGGGAAAAAAATCTTGACTATAGTACATGCATTCCATTGACAAACAAGAATCTCCTTAGTATTGTAAGTGATCTGACATTCAGTGCTACAATCAGTCTTACACTTGTGTTCTCCTTGTTGTTGGAGTTTGTCTCATTCAGGTCTTCAGTCTGGATGCAGGCGTTCAAACACCGGCGGATTATCAGCATCAGCTTGACTGGGACACAAGCGGTACAGTACAACAGACTTTAACTCTGGGATTTCTAACAACTTCAAATGACTCACATAACATCTGCTAGCTAGATATGTATTTTTAATATGATCTAGGGGGAATAAAGACCTTAGACACAGGTCCGTACTGTAAACCTCAACAGATCAATGAGCGGTAGTTCGACATTTTGGCAATTAAGCCCTTTTTTCTACTTACCCAGAGTCAGATGGACTCATGGATACCATTTGTATGTCTATGCTTGCAGTTTGAAGGAAGTTGAAGGTACTTTCTGGAGCGGTTGCTAACTAGCATTAGCGCAATGAATGGAAAATGTCAAACTACCCCTTTAAATCCCACATATGCTGACAGGAGCTACATAGCTGCAGGCCAAACTCACCTATTTAGTAAGGGCTGTGTAGGAGCTATATAACCGCAGGCCAAACTCACCTATGTTAGTGGGGGCTGTGTAGATGTGGGCATACTGGTAGAACTTCCTAGCTGCCTTGGGGTTCATCTGAATCAGGGTGACGCAGCGCTCGCACCACACCTCCTCTGATTGGTTGACGGGGAAGAAGGAATTGAAGAGGAGGTTGACGATGCGCTTGGAGACAGGCTGCGAGTCGACGGCCAGACGGGCTAGCAGGTGTTCCATGGAGGACACCTTCCAGAACTGGAGAAGAGAGAGGAGGGGTACGGCAGGGTGAGCGTCACAAATCATGTCTGACAGTATTACTGAGATAGCAGGGAATCAAAAAGCTTTCTCCCAACACAAACAGAAATAACTACAGTGTATTGCCTGACAAAATGACAACAATGAAGATATATAATTTTGAAAAATGTATAGTTGTACTTTGAATATCTTCAGTTGTCTTTTTGTCAGACAATATGCTGTGGTTTTGCACAAAACAGAAATACACACACGCAGTGTTTTTACCTTGGCGGCTCGCACTGCTTTGATCTTGAGCAGCATGTCGAGGAAGGCCACGCGTACTTTCTCCGAGGTGTCATGGAGGCTGTTCTTCAGAGCAGGCAGTAGCTGCTCCAGCAACGGGTGACTTTGGCCATTGTCCAATACGATGGTCAAACACTGGAGAGAAGACTTAACAATCAGTAATCAATAATATCAACAACACAGAACCGCAGTCATGACTGGTGGTGCTCTAGAGGAGGTTCAGAGTTCACCATCGCACCCATAGAGACATATAGGTCTGCATCCCAAATGGCACCCGATTCCCTATATAGGGCACTGCTTTTGACCAGAGCTTTAAGGGCTGTCAAATTAGTGCACTATATAGGGAACAGGGTGCCATTTGGGATGTAACCATAATGTTCTAATATATATATAGTGTTCTATAGTATTCAATACTGTGGTCACCCACCTTGAAGACGGAGCAGCGGACATCAGGGGAGCTGGTATCATTGGCCAGCTCCACCACCAACTTCTTAAGGAAGTCGGTGATGACAGTGGGGGGGATGACCTCCCAACACTTGGCCAGGATCTTACAGACCCCCAGGGTGGCTGTGGAGCGCACCAGGGGCTGAGGGTCCTCCAGCAGGCACTGACATGTTACAAACACACACACAGGAACAAACAGGTGAGAGCTTTATTAAACAGGACTACACTGTACACAGTGCTGATAAAATACACTCACTACACTTGAACTATTTAACCCTTTAAAATCGACACAGAAACATTCTATGCTGATTTTGTAATTCCAAACTATTTAGCAGACGCTCTTATCCACGCTGACTTACAGGGGCAATTAGGGTTAAGTGCACAGACAGATTTTTCATCTAGTCGGCTCGGGGATTCGAACCAGCAACCTTTCGGTTACTGGCCCAACGCTCTTAACTGCTAGGCTATCTGCCGCATATTAGCTCAATTTATGGCATTTCACGGATTCACAAACATAAAACAACCACTTGGAAATTCAATGTCATAATACATTGACTTACGACCAGCGTGTCCAGTTGTTTCTGGATGGTCTCGTCCATCTTCTCACTGCTCTGGCTAGGGTCGTGGATAGGGAAGGCCTCGGTGAAGGGCAGAGTGGCATTGGCCCGGACCTCAGGAAGTTGGCAGCCTACAATGTAGATGTAAGAACTCCTCATTTAGTCAACAACAACAAAAAACAAATATCCAAGAAATTAAAGAGTATGTTTGTATTGAAGGAACAATTGGCCTGTCCGCTTAGCGGTCTCCAGAGAAGCTTGTAGAGTCTGTAGAGCATCTCATCAACCCGGGCGGCCTTCCGTGGAGTAGTCAGTATCTACAAGAGAGATAAGTCACACCATAAATAAAGTCACCAGCATGAATACGTAGACTTGTGGGTACGCAGCTGGTGTTTGGAAGCGCTAGCAGTCCATGAGAAAATAAATACAGGGAATGTGTGCTGTTGAAGTTCTACTTCAACAGTCCCAAATGGCACCCTTTTCCCTATATTAGTGGTAAAAATAAAACAAAAACATCAATACAGTTACATATCGCAATATTATTTTGGGAAAGATATTATATCGATATTTGAATCCAAGTATCAATTTGTAAAAAAAAATATTATTATTATTTCTGAAGCTGACAGTGAGAAATATGTTTGGAACATCAAATCGCAATACATATAGAATCATGAGAATTGCAATACAGATCGTATCAGCACCTAAGTATCGTGAGATCCCTGGCAATTCCCAGCATACCCTATATAGTGCAATCATTTTTACCAGAGCGCTATAGGGTGAACTACTAAAGGCCCTGGTCAAAAGTAGTGCACTATACAGTATAGGGAATAAGATGCCACCTGGGATGCACACTAAGTCAAATGTGCACGGCGCCCACCTGTCTGACTTTGGCATGGACGGGTGAGGTCCTGTGCAGGAGTACAGCGTGCTGCATGAAGTCCTGGATGCAGGTGCTCTCGATCTGCTCCAGACAGACCCCAGAGGCTTTCTTCCAGGCCCGGCAGTAGATCTCAGCTATGTTGTCAGTGAGGGAACTGGTAAAAATCAACTGAGTTCAACCAAACAGTCAAAAAAAACTGGTATATCATCATGAATTGAATAGGAGAAAACCATTGCCTCCTGACAGCTACCTTAGAATAAGTAAGCCTTGACCGAGCCAGAACGGCCCATCTCCTGTTTATGTAGCGGGAGGCAGCTTGATGTGCAAGTACACCCCCTGGACAGGACACTAGTCTGTCGTGGGGCCTTACCCTAAATGCTGAGTGCCAAGCAGAAATGCATCGGGTCCCATTTTTTTTGGTCTTTGGTATGACTCGACCGGAGATCGAACCCCCAACCTCCCAATCTGGCAGACATTATAACAAGGTCACTTAGTACCTTAATAGAAAACTAGAAATGCAAACACTTACTTTGCAAAGTAGGGCAGCTGGTTTTTGATGGTTCCATGGATCATCCGGATGAAGTTGACATTCCAGCTAAAGAGGAACACCATGAGACGCTTTCCCTGCCAGCGAAAGTCATGTTATCGGAACGACAATGTGAGCATGATAGCATAGCATCACACACACACACACGACCTATATAAATACATTCAGCGTTTGCTTTTGTCTGGAGTTTCAGATGGGCAGGGTTTGCAGTTTTGGGACTTTTATTTTGGTTTATTAAGCCAGGCAAGCACAAACGGGCAGAGAAAGTATTTGAAATTAAATCCATTTTTAAGTATTTGAAAACCAGTTCTGACACACACCAATAGAAAGACACACTTACATCTTCGTTTCTAATGTGATTGACACTGAGGAAGCACTGTAGCAGCAGATCGATCAGCTCCTGGCTGCTCTCCGACGCAAAGTCCACAGTGAGCAGCACTTCATGGAAACCCCACAGCCTTTGGATCTCAGCCCCCTGAGAACGTGTACAAAACGCAAATACAACATTCAGCAAACCAAATACAAAACTGGTCAATGCAGACGCCAAAAGACAAACCTGCCAAGATTAGACAAAAGGTTAATACAGAGATATCATTCTTCCCCCAGATAACCAGAGACACATATTGGAGAACAGCCTAAAATGCAGATACTGCCTGCAAGGAATCCACCTCACTAGGGCAGAAACGAGAGGATCACAAATCATAATCGTATATTGCTCTAATGTAAATATCCACTAGTGTAGAAAAAGACTTCAGTTCTGACAGAGATAAAATGAAGAGTGCATACTCTACTTCAAATTAATTCTCCAGATGATCCCTGAATGAGAGTACCGGGTGATTAAAGAGCGCTCTCGTCTGTTGTCGAGACCAGGGAGTGGAGCTAAAATAAATACAAATAAAAGACTTATTGAGATCATTCCTTCTCTTTTTGACTCAGGCTCCTGATAGAGATGATTAGGGATAGAAGCGGGCTTCACAAAACACAGAAGACGAGACAATCAGATAGGGCGAACAACACAAGATAAAAAGCAAGCACATGGAAGAAAAATCAAAAAAGGAAATGTGAAATATGAAATATGTAAACATGTACCCAGGATTTTTTCTGCATAGAAAACTCTTGAACTCTATGTTCAAACAGTTTTCAGTTTAGGGGATGGAAAAACGTTCAGTGTAAAACTTAAAAACGACTAAAACCAGATATAAAAGTACACAATATATACAAAAGTATGCGGACACCCCTTCAAATTAGTGGATTTGGCTATTTCAGCCACACCTGTTGTCGACAGATGTATAATATCGAGCTCAAAGCAATGCTCCATAGACAAACATTGGCAGTAGAATGGCCTTACTGAAGAGCTCAGTGACTTTCATAGGATGCCACCTTTCCAACAAGTCAGTTCGTCAAATTTCTGCCCTATTAGAGCCGCCCCGGTCAACTGTAAGTGCTGTTATTGTGAAGTGGAATTTTCTAAATGTCTGAATACAGAAGTGCGTAGCGCATAAAAATAGTTTGTCCTCGGTTGCAACCCTCACTACTGAGTTCCAAACGGCCTCTGGAAGCAACGTCAGCAAAATAACTGTTCGTCATGAGCTTCATGAAATGGGTTTCCATGGCCGAGCAGCTGCACACAAGCCTAAGATCACCATGCGCAATGCCAAGCATCGGCTGGAGTGGTGTAAAGCTCGCCGCCATTGGACCCCGGAGCAGTGGAAACGCTTTCTCTTGAGTGATGAATCACGCTTCACCATCTGGCAGTCCGATGGGCGAATCTGGAAGAAGCAAGTCCCCGCAGCAATGTTCCAACATCTAGTGGAAAGCATTCCAAGAAGAGTGGAGGGGGGACCGACTCCATGTTAATGCCCATGATTTGGAAATGAGATGTTCGACGAGCAGGTGTCCACATACTTTTGGTAATTTTGTGGATGTAGAAAAGATTATGGAACTATATATTTTTAAATAAGATAATCTTTGATAAATAACAAAATCCCCAAAATAAAAGACAGTCAGGGAGAATAAATAATTACAAAAATGACCCATTCAGGAGTATTTTTTTCATAGCATGGGGCCCCCAATGATTTTGGTATAATGTTTGAGTCACTCAGATAGCATAAGACATAGCAAAATGTGTAGAATTACAGGAAATTAGCTTTGAAACTATTTTGTCATTGCGGGCCAACAGGAGGGCCTCTAAAATTTCAGGTCAGAGACCACACCATTGGGCACGCCCATAGCCACACCCCCATCACACCCACCACCCAAGACCCATTTTGATCCAGAAAAAAACCCTGGTAGCCTATCATTCTGTATTATCCTCCAAAATAACTTAAAGCAAGCCCAGAAAGTTTGCTAGAGAAAAAGCAAGACTGACAGAGAGCAAAACAGAAAAGCAACGACAGGCCATGTTGGTGCTAAAGGGTACGTACTGGTTTCTTCAGTATGAGGGTCTTCTCCAGGCAAACAAGGAAGGCTGTGCGGCCCAGCTCTTCTTTCCCCAGGAGGCCTTTCTTCCACCAGGCCTCGCACAGACCGGTGATAGCATGCCGCAGAGGCATCTCAGAGGCAGGAAGGTAGGGCAGGACACCTGGGGTTGTTGTACAGAGACAGACTGAAGGGTTGGAGTACTTAAAACAGTCCGGCTGACACCTAACTCAAAGTCCTCCTGACTTCAAAGTCTGGAAAGGCTCTTTTGATGTCAGCACGATATGTCAATAATGAAGGGGGCTGTGCTATTTTACTGATTGGTTCTCCTCTGTGTCTTTCTCACTCAAACACCCACATGGACAGCCACACACAGTCCCCGAGAGCTGTCACCTTTCAATACAACTGTTTGATTTTCAAATCGTAAGGTCTCAACCCCCCAGGAAAAAAAAAACTACTGAGAACTAATCAAAGCTCAGCCAGAAACAAGTACGACTCCGCATGAATACTGCATTTACAATGCCCTCCTGTCCAGACCAGTGTGTCAGCTCTCCCTCGCTGACCACATGAGTCGCATAAACCAGGCTACCTAAAAACTGGCTAAACAAGTATTTTCAAACACTTTCAGATTCTTTCTATAATAAAAAAGCACTATAGAAATTGAATAAATGATCATTATTATTATTATAAAACAAGGATACAGAGTTAATAGTCAATAAAACAAAAAAACACTCACCATGTAATATGTTGGTGCACTCTAAGAGAGAGTTGTAGGTGTCGCCATCCTCAATGACATCCACAGAAGCTGTGACCACTAGAGTCACTCCCTCAAAGACAGACATGGTGTGTGTCTAAAGAACAGAAAAGATGACCACCTCTCAATCAAGGAATAGTAGACAACTGAACACTGACATCAGATGTAGGAGATGAAGTCAGAGCAAGAATAAAACAACTGTTCTTGTCATGCCGTGTGGAACAATATAGACGAGAGAGTGGTCAGGATGTAGAATTGTCATGATACTACGATTCTCCATGGCAAAAAAAAACAAGGCAGACTAAACTCTTTGTCGAACCTGCTTTATGTCAAATAGTGTGCACTATAGCTTGGAAAACAAACAAATTTGACTCTGGGTGACAACAGTATAATGCGTTTCCAACATTAGGACTGTATCCCTTAAATTAAACCTGCTTCATGTTTTATTTCCTTGCCACGATACTAGTATTGTGACAACTCTACTCACTAGTACTCACCCGGTCTGGGGACACCTCCACCTCCATGTCATTGTCCTCCTTGTCCTCCTCTAAGCCAGCATCCCAGTGCTCTGGTGCAAAGGCTGCCAGCTGGTCACAAAGTACTGTGACTAGTCTGGCCCACAGTGCCTCTCTCTGGCCCTTTGGCAACTCCTGCAGGACCTCATCCAGGTCAAAGGGCTCAGCTGTGTCCTTCTATGGTAACATCACAGCCAAACAGGGTCAGAGGCAAGGCTCTCAAATTGATAGATGAGCATAACGAATCATTATGGTAGACAATACTCATTTTGAGATTCATGATATTGGTCCTATAAGACAGGGGTTCCCAAACGCTTACACTCAGGCCATCCTTTCAGCATTGGGGAACATCCCAGGTGTGGTCCTCTGTAGCTCAATTGGTAAATGTATGCACACATGACTAAGTCGCTTTGGATAAAAGCGTCTGCTAAATGGCATATTATTATATTATCCCAGGGCCCCCCTGCACGCATTCCACATCTATGGGCACAAGCACTGTTCATGACACAAACTGTTCACACCCCTCTTGTTGGCAGAGAGAGAAAAAAGGTTTAAAGCTTATTTCCTGCAATTCTGTACATTTTGCCATGCCTAATGTGTGTATTCATGTGATATTTGAGTGATTCAAACATTACAACAAAATCAATGGGCTAAAAAACGTTAGCATTTCTGACAAGTTATAAATAGCTCTCTACGTATGCAATGACTAAGGTACCCCCCCCCCCCCCCACACACAAATAAAATAAAAAATAAACTCAGTCTGGCTTTCAACTTACTCTTAAAAGTTGTAATAGTAGAATGCACAAGGTGCAATTTCGAAATTCCTAGTGCATCATCAGTTTTCCTCTTGTCATATCAGTCATTGCATACCTTAGAGAGCTATGATTATTGTCACAGTTTGGGAACCACTGCAGTATACATATTTTGCAGTTTTACAAAAATAACATTGTAGCTAACGTTACTTACATGGAGTTGAATGAAATTGAGAAATTCCCCCACATTGTCTTTGCAGACGGAGTCTAAAAATGCCTCTCGCTTAGACATGTTTAGTCAGTGCCGTGAAATAAGCAGTCAAATCTCTCGTTAAATCTGAATGATTTGGATAAAAACATGACATCATGAGCAACAACAATAACGTCGTTACCTAGCTAACCTAACTTGCTTCGTGTTTCCGTTTTATGGACAGAAATATGAACTAAAGTTCATCAGCATATCATTTACCACTAGCTAAGTTCATGTTAAATACATATCAATGTCTTATGCCGTCCTTATAAATCATCAACTATTTTCTTATTATAACTTAGCTAACAAGCTAGCCAGCCATTCACCTACCAGCTTCCCCGGGTAAATTTAATTTGAAAACGTCCCGAGCCACGTGACACACCTCTGTTATGACATCTTTACGTCTTCTTGTAATCACTCCAGAGACGGAAGAGGAAGCGATCATCCCACTCCCTCATTTTTTTCAATAGAAGTCAACGATCTAAGTAGATCGGAGACCCAGGTTCTATCGCATTGGTCTCTATCTGGTGTCTATGGGAGTGCCACCCCCTTAAGTAGACCGGAACTGAATTTTTTCCCCAATGGTAAACTGCCTGAGTGAACTATCTTCATTCATCCACCATCTTTGAACCCTACTATACCACAGAGTTTCTAAACCATATTTGCCGAACTCTTTATATACCTCGGTGCCTAACATCACGATACTTTCGGGAACGCTTCGCGAAGTAGACTCGACAGACCAGGGTTCGGAAAGTCAATGAGTGAAGTGAACAATTAGTTTACATTTCATTTGAGTCATTTAGCAGATGCGCGTATTCAGAGCGATTTACAGGAGCAATTAGGGTTATGTGTTGCTCAAGGGCACATAGACAGATTTGTCACCTAGTCGGCTCGGGAATTCAAACCAGCAACCTTTCGGTTACTGGCCCAACACTCTTAACCGCTAGGCTACCTGCCGCCCATGAACTATTGCTTGTTCTAGTGATTACCTTCAATAGCTCAGGGAACCTGGGCACCTGGAACATGCTAATACCAATGTCAACACTTCCTACTGTGGTCCCTAACAGTAAGCCAGGCCTGGAGTGCCACCCCAGTTTCCGTGCCCCTCGCAGAGCCGTTGTGTCTGAAGGCACGTTTTTAGAGTTATAAAGGTACAACCTAGATTTGAGCCAATGTCTTAAGTAGCTGAACATGTTATTACTCCAAACTCCTGAATGTGACAAACTGACACGTTTTCATTTTCGTCAAAAAAATCACTTTATATCGAAGCAGTGCCTTTGAGTGGGCAGCGGCGCGACACGAGCGGATGAGGTGTTTCTGCGCATGAGCTTGCTAGGCATTTTCATACTCAACCATCTTTGACTGTATAGCCTACTTTATTTAAGCAGCATTTTTGTGTGTAGAGCAAGCCTACTTATGTTATTGATTTGGGAGTAATAATGATGTCACCAGGCAGGCCAAAACTCCATCCCACCAAAACAGGCTGACATTTCAGACAGTTTCTTTAAACAGCTCTTACACTAAAAGGTATGATCATCATTTTGACAATTTCACCGTTTTAATTCAACCTCATATATAAAACACAGGAAAATAACTGGGGCAGTCAAACACACACACACTCTCATTTGTACTGGTTAATTTTAAATGCTAAAGTAACACTATAGTAAATCATAAATTAAAAGAACATCTCAACTAAAGTTGCGCCTGAGAAACCACTAGATGGCGCTGTGTACAGCAAAACAAGGATATACATACAGTAAGCTCTCTCGGACAAAGAAACAACACACAAAGGCAAACAATGAATTTAGGACTAGCCACTTCTTACAGGGAAGTCAAGTCATTACACACACAACAACAACATGATACTTTTTTCAGTGAAAGAGAAACAACTCTTTATTATTCAAAACAAACCATGAATATACTTATTCCAAATGTGAAAACTGAACTTGATGCCAAAATGTTTCATATACATTTGTTAGTGTGAAGGTGTTTAATGTTAATAAGGCACAGGAAAGATAACTGACAGAGTATTTAAGATGTTTGTAACGCATAATATGAAAGTGTTTCAAGTTAAAACAGTATTCATTGCATGGCTCTACGTACAGGAGGCACCATCTGTCATCATTCGACAAATAAAAACAAAACTTCCCACAATGTTGCAAAAAAATATAGCATAACGCATCTGGTGTAAGAGACAATTCATTTATTGTCCTCTATTCATTTACAAATGATTATTACGATAACCAAACTCAAACTCTTATCTGTTTAGATATACTATTCCTGTACACCAGAGCAGAACATATCCCCAACCTGACATATACCCCTTCATCTGAACATAATTCTATATTGCACTGGATCCTTCAAAATATATGGTATAGAATATACTGAACAATAATTTCATCCTTTTTAGATGTGAATCCAGTGGTAGGACTTTCGATCTCTGTAGGAGTAATTCATTACCGTTAGCATGAATAAAACATATGGAAGTAAACAAAGACGAAATAACACTGTATGACAAAAAATATATTAAACAAATGAACTGGTCATCCTTGTTCACAGCTTGTAACTACCATAGTTGTCATATCTCTCCCTTTGGTTAGAATTACGGTCACATCATCAATAGATATGGAGTCCATTCAATGTCAAAGAAAATATAAATAGGATTTCAACGTAATTTCCTTCAATAGTAACAACTAACATTGAAAACCCTGCAAATCCTAATTAGTCAATTTTAGGCCAGTTATGCATATATAAACACTGAACAACTTAGAAAACAAGGCAGTAAATGTGCTTTTTCACACATTAACCTAAATCTTCTGATAAACGTTTTGCTTTTAACAGCACAATTTTTTGAAACTTTGACATCTTTCAATAGTGCAGGAACAGCATGTTACAGCAAACTTCAAGTTGTATCTCTACATGCGTCAACATGATAAACACACAAATTAAATGAAAAAAAGTAAGAAAATGAAAGTGATGTGCCCTTTGATTAGTGATAACACTATATGAAAGCAGAGTGATGTGTGTTTCTATGAATGTCAATTGGCAATACAAATGTGATTGTTGTCATGCCAATAAAGCTTTTTTGAATTGAATGTCACTAGGGTTGAAACAGCAGGATGTGTGTTTATGATGATGGAGGTGAGGTCTTCCTGTGTCCCTCTCTACCTCTCTATGCCTGGACTGTTTTGCGGCTGCCATCTTCAGTGAGATCATACCTACAAGACACCAGTGGGGCAACAAATGGCAATGGCTTAAAACTAAAATATGACTAACAAATATAATACATACATAGGATTTCTATAGCAATTTTCTCACACCCGAAGATGCAACCATAGAATGAACAACAAACAGCCTAGTTTATTGAACCAAATAAAATTTGTATCAAATGTTAACACAAATACAGCACAGAGCTGACAACACAAATTGGTTAAAGAGCATCTTACCATTGTGTCCAGCCCTTGGATATATCCTCACCACTCAAATCCACCATCACCTATACCGTAATAAGTAAAGTAGCATTGCTAGAGTCAACAACAATCGGATAACATTCATCATGCTCCTTTATTTTTTCAAGTGCAACTGGCTATGTCTGTGTTGCAAATGGCACCCTATTCCCAATATAGAGCACTACTTTTGACCAGGGCTCATAGGGGTCTGGTCAAAAGTAGTGCACTTCATAGGGAATAGGGTGCCATTTGGGACATACCCTATCTTTTGTGAGGAGACACTACCTTCCCGAGGAGTCCTCTGTGTTTGGACAGTATACTTCCTCTATTCTTCACAGCGATGTCCAGAGTTCTCCTGTGCAGCTCCACCATGGACACACTAAACTCAAACCTGCAGACGAACAAAACACACACTGTAGGATTCTCCTTTTTCTATTTCTGAGTGAGGATTTCCTACTGTAGTGATATTGGGTAATGAATGAATCCAATGGATGATTTTGTGAATTATTTTGATGGTTGTGAATTGGTTGCATAATGTAGTAGGTGGCCATAGAGATCCAATGTACTACTATTACTTATAAATCCTATATGTAATTCTATGGTTGTGGCCTACAGTGACAGTCAGTCAGAACTCACGTTTGATCATACACAGGGTTCAGGGTTTTCTTTATGGTGCTGGTCTTCCTCCGGCCTGTCCGGCTCTTGTCAGGGAGCAGGTAAATCTGAATGAAAGGATCTGATCCATCCTTAGTGAATGCAATGAGATTTCTGAGGGCAAAATGTGCATGGGGTCCATCAGGCACATTGAAATCTGAACAGAGTATGTCCTGAACTTGTGGTATTTAAGATGAACACAGCGGGAGGTTTCCTGGACACACATTAAGCTTAGTCCTGGCTCTTTCGATGGAGAATCACCAATGAGCATGTTTTTTAGTCCAGGACTAGGCTTAATCTGTGTCCAGGAAACTGGCCTGTACTGTATGTGACTGGTCTAGTGTGTTATGTGAGGCCACTGACTGACCGACAAGCATGCACCACCACGATGAGCTTGTTCCTCTGGGAGCTGTGGCGGACAGTCAGTTGAATCTCCCCCATGGGGTACGGACTAGGGGCAGATCCACTGAAAACACAACACAGCACAGATTTGGGATTACATTTACCTTACCTCGTGATAGTGATTGTGTGCGTGTGGGTGTGACTTACTTCTGCAGCTGCCTGAGCCTCTGCTGCAGCTCTAGGGTGGCGAAGGGCAGGGAGATGTCAGAAGCCAGACTGGCCATGGAGTCCTTGTGGGGCAGATGTTTCTGGGAGCTGGATATGGTGGTGTTCAGGTTGGAGGTGCTCCTGATGGAGGTGCTCCTGATGGGGCTGCCTCCGTACGGCTCCTCCCTGCCATGGAGGGTGTGGGTGGAGGCCTCCATGGGCGGTGGTGGGGAGGTGGTGGCTGGGGGAAGAGGTGACTCCGATGTGGAGAGTCTCTGGGAGGGGACGGTGGGGTTGACCACGCTGGCTTTCCTCACCTGGACAGAGGAGGGCTGGTCCGATGCACTCGTCTGCTTCTCCAGACACAGAACCTGAGACACAGAAGAGCAGAGCACAGTGCTATACTGTACATTGTAATAGGACAATTTCTTTACACACTACAATCAGTAACTTTAGAAAATAGACAGCAGGTCTATTATGGGTGTGTCACAAATGGCACCCTATTCCCTACAATGTAGAGCACCATGGGCCCTGGTCAAAAGTACAGTAGTGCATTACATAGGGAATAGGGTGCCATTTGAGACACTGTATATCCTTACCTTGAGTGCCAACTTCAGTTTGAGTGTGGAGCTGGGTCCAGAGTTCCTCAGGGAAAACTGCTGAGTGAACATCATGTCCTCTTCCAGCAACAGACCACTCAAGGGGACTGTAAGATTACCCAGGGTGCGCTTGTGCTTGTCGTCCTTCACCTGGACATAGACAGGCAAGCCAACAAAGGGTTAACATCAGAGATCTTATAATTCACATACACTTACTGTAAACTCAATGTTTGACCCAAGCAAAAACATCAAAAATACATGTATACAAATAGATCACCTACCAGTTGTGGTATGATGAAACATGTATGTAAAGTGTGCAGTGTGCAGTACCTCCACTTCCAGCTCCTGCCTCCTGGGGTTATGGACGAGGAAGGAGAACGCTTCCTCCCACATGGGCTCATTGGTCTTATAGCGGATCTGAAGAAAACACATTTAGAATAGAATATGCTGTAATAGAAAATAATAGAATCAACATGAGAACAGGAGTGAAATATGATGTTTACACTGATCATTTACAATTATCTACAGAAACCATGCCCACTGTAGTTTCTTACCTTACTCTCAAATGATTTGTTCCCAACTGTGAAATGAACGTAAGAACTTGGTTCACTGCTCATTTTCTTGCCGGACTGTGAGAGATGACCAGGAAAAGAGTGGCTCTGAATGAGTGTTACTAAGACAAAAACCCACACTGAAAACACTGTTGATCTTAAGCTTATTGTAGTAACACAAATATTATACAGTAGAAACACACTGAAATCAGTGAGAAAATGGGTCAGAGTGTCTATCCTCAGATAAATGAGAATATAAATTAGGCTGCATCCCAAATCGTTCTCTATTCCTTATTTAGTACACTTTGGCAGATAGGGCTTTTTGGACAATGCACAGTAGCTAGGAAACAGTCACCCTTGGTCTTAGTTAGACCACATTCTTCATTCTAATTTCAAGCTCAATCTCAGCTTTGAAACCCAATAACTCTCACTGTTGGCAACCGGTTTATAATAGATACCATGTACATATAACAATTTCTGTGTTCCAAATGGCACCATATTCCTTGTGTAGTGCACTACTTTTGACGAGGGCCCATACCGTAGGTTCTGGTCAAAAGTCATGCACTATATAGGGAATAGGGTGCCATTTGGGAGACATCCAATGTATGAGTCTAAAGTTACCAGACTAAAGTGCATCCCTACCTCCTGGAGATTGCTTTAGCCTAATATATATATATATATATAAAATATAGGTTTATGAAACAGCCTGAGAAAGACACAACCCCAAACTATCACATGCCAGAATTGGTGTTTAGTCAGAGGACAAAAGGATTGGTCAAATGCAGATCTACATTCAGGACGAATTATTGAATTAGACCAAGCTCTACATTAAAATGTGTAGAGGGTTCCATTTCAATGCACAAACATTGAAATATGGGAACCAAGTGAGTGAGGTTTGGATTTATCCTCCCTCTCTAGTTCTACCTCTCCCTCTTTCTTCATCCACCAAATGAACATATTTGGAGCTTGGATATTACACGTTATAGTGCATGTCATTAAACATCTGGGGCCATAGATATGTATCAAGTATCTCAGAGGAGTTCAGACTTAGGATTTTGCCTTTTAGATCACAATGAATAAGATCACTTGACAGGGTGGACCTGATCCTGAGATGCTTGATCCATACGGCCCCTGGTTTGTACAACTACAGAGCAGGTGTGCAACAGGTGTAGGTATGTGAAAATCCAGTTCTCATTGTGTGTAGTAAATGAAAAGCTATAAAGTGATGCTTGTGGCATTGACATAGACAGAGTGATCATCAATCTCCAAGCAAGAATAATGACAATGACTCACAATGGATAAACAATGCATTTACGGATAAGTAGCACCATAAATGATCATAATAATCAAAGTAAATTTGGATGGCACAAAGTAAGGAAGGGCACAGACTGAGAACACATAAGCCGTCTATGCGTGCTATCTGTGCATGGCATGCATCCTCCCACTTTCTTACTTTACCTTCAGGGACTTAAAGACAGAGGCTTGCTTCAACACGTCATGGTTGAAATTAAACAGGTTGCTCTTTTATACAAAAGGGGAGACGGGGAGAAAATCAGACCCAGCGTTAGTGGGATGGGGGATTGAGTATGGTTAGGTTTAGCTCTGGTCCAGGACGTCGTTCGGTAGCACTCTCTTAATGAGAGCGCAGCCGAACAACGCCCTGGACCAGAGCTAGGTTAGGTTGTATTAAGTAGTATGGGAACAACAACAACCCATAGAGAATGGAAAATGAACAAATGAAAGGAGACAGCCAATAAATATAGGGAGAGGAATGTCCAACATATGAATAACATCAATCTATGTACAATAGGTAACAATGGGGACATTATAATGAATGAATAGAAGGCAGTATAAAAGAAAAGCTGAATAAAGGAGAATGAAAATATCCTTTCTTTTTGGGAGAAGCTTTAGGATGAGGTGCTTGGAGGAACTTGTGATTAGGGATGTTGTTTATATCGAGCTAATAAGAGATCTGACAGTATTTCAATATTCCCTTACTTAGACCTAATGGTCCACTGAACAGACACTAAAAGCAACATTATCCTTGCCTGTCACCTCTGTTTAGACTGAGCGCAAACGACAGGCGTCAACGCATCCTTGAAGTGATGCGCCACAAATAGTGCCCTCAATCAAAAAACCCTGACACCTTGAAATCAATAGTTATTTGGAAACCATATTTTGCCTGCCTGCACCTTGGTGTTATTGGAATTATTATTTAGTCAATATGATAAATATTCATGATCCACCGGGTATGGGAAATTACTGTATAAAAATATTATTATTAGGATTTGCAACCATGCAGCAGAGTCAATCAACATGCTTTATGGCACAAGACTCACTGCAGCAGGTCTGTTACTTAGCTCTGGTCCAGGGCATTGTTCGACTGTGTGATAGTGAGTGCGGATCCGAACGACGCCCTGCACCAGAGCTAGTGTGTTACTGTTCAACCCCACCACACACTGCTAATGCTAACTCTAGGATGCAGAGTACCGGATGACTCACAAATAAAGTTCTATACATTGAGGTATTGCTCTCACAAAATACTAGGCCAGATGCTCTCCTCTCTTTTAGGTTTCCGCACCCAAAGCTCCCGGTGAAGACGCTCTTTATAGGAAAGAACAGGGAGAGAAGAAGGTAAATAAAGTATGGCTTAGATGCTAAAGAGGCTAAAGACGCTGCCTGGCTCATTTAGGAGTTGACTGTCTTGGGCTGATATTGATCTGTTGGTTAAGGTCAACGTTCAAAGGTGAAAGAGTGTGTTGAAGAAGGAGAAAAACAGAAGTTTCAACAAACAGACACACAAATGAAGCCATTGAGGTGCTCACGTCATGTTAAAGGTGTGTTGTGCATGTGGACGACCAGAGAGACAGGGTTGAGGTGAGAACAGTAAACTATGGCATGTTGACTGAACAACACCTGGAAATGTGTACTGAAAATGCTTGTTAAGCTGGGTTAGCAATATTTCTGAACATTCTTTTCAAGTTAAATTTGGCATGATTCACAATAGCTCCCTTGGGTGGAGTAGAATATGTCCAGAAAGTAGAAATATATTACATTATTCTCTGTATCCTTATTCACAACATGCTATAGGGCCTACCTTTGTAAAAAATGTACATTCATGTGTATAGCATGGGAAAAGATGCTATAATTCTGAAGTAAATGCTATCATGTACAGGTAGCTTAGTGGTTAAGAGCGTTGTGCCAGTAACCGAAAGGTTGCTGGTTCTAATCCCCGAGCCAACTAGGTGAAAAATCTGTCGATGTGCCCTTGAGCAAGGCACTTAACCCTAATTGCTCCTGTAAATTGCTCTGGATAAGAGCGTCTGCTAAATGACTAAAATGTAATCAACCGCCGTGCAATGTGCTTTCACCTGCAGCAGTCTAAAGATGCCTCACATTCAATAATTTAGCAATCTGCTTCACTCTACCACCAGAGCACTCCTTCAACCTTTAACTGTAAATTCCTGTCACCCAGCTCTATTCACCGGCAGGTTCTTGGCTGAGTCCAAGTACACCACCAGCAGAGCAGATGAGAGTCCATCATTGGCCAGGCATCTGTCAGCTCGCACGTTCCTCAAAACCTGATTGGACAGGAGAGACGGGGAGGTCACTACTGAGACTAGGAGAAGCCTTGTAATTCACGTGTTACTTAATTAATCAACACAGATCTGGCAGTAACAAGACTGAAAGAGAGGCTAAGCTAAGGGCTGCATCCCACCATGGGCCCTGGTCAAAAGTAGCACACTACAGTAATTAGGAAATAGCGTTCCATTTGGGATGCGGACAAGGTGTCCAAGCTACCCTCCTAGTAAGATGTCTTTATACAAGGTCTTGAATTATCAGATGATTTGGGGAGGGGGTAAGTAAGTATCAACATTGAAAAGAGAAGGGTTTGTGATACTGCACCTGGTCCATCTTGTCAGGGGTGGAGAGCAGAGAGAGCCACTCCAGTTTCATGTGTAGTTTCCCCGTGGAGACTTCTTCCAGGTCAAACCACTAGAACGACAGGTTGTTCAAGGCTGCATCCCAAATGATACCCTATTCCCTTTATAGTGCACTACTTTTGACCAGGGCCCATATCAAATGTATTGCACTATAAAGGGAATAACGTGCAATTTGGGACATACACCACATCTCAACAGAGTAAAGTAGTGAGTGAATCACACAATAAAGGTTATAGCTTCCCGTCCATGCATAGTGTACAGTTCTCATGGATGACATCACACTATCTTCAAATGAACACAGACAGATAATATACTACGGCAAATAAATCTCTATCGAAGTGCTGAACTAAAGCCAAGTTCATGTTTTTATTTTATTTGAAGATGAAAAAAAGATGTCAGACTTACCTCATCTACCTTCTGCTCTTTGTAAAGCTCTTTCATATCGATCATCAGGCTGCAATCGAAGACACAAAGATTGGATAAGAAATCAGTAGGGGAGGATGAAGTAAACACCCTGATTCATCACAACAGAAGCTCCTTGGTGTCCACATCACCAACAAACTATCATGGTCCAAACACACCAAGACAGTCGTGAAGAGGGCACGACAATGCCTATTCCCCCTCAGGAAACTGAAAAGATTTGGCATGCGTCCTCAGATCCTCAAAAAGTTATACAGCTGCACCATTGAGAGCATCCTGACTGGTTGCATCACTGCCTGGTCTGACAACTGCTTAGCCTCCAACCACAAGGCACTACAGAGGGTAGTGCATTCGGCCCAGTACATCACTGGGGCCAAGCTTCCTGCCATCCAGGACCTCTATACCAGGCGGTGTCAGAGGAAGGACCAAAAAATTGTCAAAGACTCCAGCCACCCTAGTCATAGGCTGTTCTCTCTGCTACCGCACGGCAAGCGGTACCGGAGCACCAAGTCTAGGTCCAAAAGGCATCTTAACAGCTTCTACCCCAAAGCCATAAGAATCCTGAACAGCTAATCAAATGGCAAATGGCTTGTAAGTAAGCATTTCACTGTAAGGTGTATTCGGCGCATGTGACAAATACAATTATATTTGAATAGGGTGCCATTTGGGACACAGACAGGACCCTGTTGGGTGCTATGCTTTAGCAGCAATAGAGCCAGACAAAACAAATCAGCCTCCCCTTGGGATGAGGCCCAAGAACCAGGGCTTTAGTCTAACTCCTAATGTGACTGATCACAGATACTTAATACATCAAAGATACTTAAATTAGTCTCTTCTCTCTTATAAGGGGTCACCCTTCACTTCGACATATAGGAGTAAGGTTTTGTGGTGAGAAGATGGATGCTAAGACTGCGATAGCTCTGCTCCAGGGCGTTACGTGCAGCTTGCTGACAATGAAGGCTCGGTACCAGAGCTAAGTTTGTGACATATTTTCAGGCTAGAGTTAAATGGACTGCCGTGGCTATTATAAGATCATTTGTTTGATATTGGGTACGATAACTCACAATGCAGAGGAATATTAAGCTTTTTGACCATGGGGTAATAAGAAAAGGACATGAGCTCACCTCCCCAGGAAATCATCTTTGTCTGGGTCCTCATCAAACAACTCAATCTCCAGGTGTTGGCCTGAGTGCTCATATACCAGGGCCTGGAAATGACTTATGTCAATTCATCTCCAATCTCAGATACAGTAGGTCACATTGAATACAGCCAAAGGGCTGGTAAAACATGACATGGTAGGTAAAACTGCATGAGAGCCAAAAATAAGAGGAAATATTGGACTGTTGGAAATACAGTGCCTTCGGAAAGTATTCAGACCCCTTGACTTTTCCCACATTTTGTTACGTTACAGCCTTACTCTACAATCGATTAAATAAATAAAAATCATCAGCAATCACACACAATACCCGATAATGACAAAGCGAAAACATGTTTTTAGAAATGTTTGCAAATGTATTAATACTTGATTTACTTGCTATGAGACCCGAAATTGAGCACAGGTGCATCCTGTTTCCATTGATCATCCTTGAGATGTTTCTACAACTTGATTGGAGTCCACCTGTGGTAAATTCAATTGATTGGACATGATTTGGAAAGGCGCAAACCTGACTATATAAGGTCCCACAGTTGACAGTGCATGTCAGAGCAAAAACCAAGCCATGAGGTCGAAGGAATTGTCCGTAGAGCTCCGAGATAGGATTGTGTCAGAGGCACAGATCTGGGAAAGGGTACCAAAACATTTCTCCAGCATTGAAGGTCCCAAAGAACACAGTGGCCTCCATCATTCTTAAATGGAAGAAGTTTGGAACCACCAAGACTCTAACTAGAGCTGGCCGCCCGGCCAAACTGAGCAATCGGGGGAGAAGGGCCTTGGTCAGGGAGGTGACCAAGAACCCAATGGTCACTCTGACAGAGCTCTAGAGTTCCTCTGTGGAGATGGGAGAACCTTCCGTCTCTGAATGTCCTTGAGTGGCCCAGCCAGAGCCCAGACTTGAACCCGATCAAACATCTCTGGAGAGACCTGAAAATAGCTGTGCAGCGACACTCCCCATTCAACCTGATAGAGCTTGAGATGATCTGCAGAGAAGAATGGGAGAAACTCCCCAAACACATGTGTGCCAAGCTTGTAGCGTCATACCCAAGAAGACTTGAGGCTGTAATTGCTGCCAAAGGTGCTTCAACAAAGTACTGAGTAAAGGGTCTGAATACTTATGTAAATGTAATATTTTTATAGATTTTTATTTTTTAATAAATTAGCAAACATTTCTAAAAAACATTTTTTGCTTCATCATTATGGGGTATTGTGTGTAGATTGATGAGGGGGAAAAAAAACAATTTAATAAATTTTTGAATAAGGCTGTAACGTAACAAAATGTGGAAAAAGTCAAGGGGTCTGAATACTTTCCGAAGGAACTGTATGCATGTAAGCTGTATCTGGTTCTACATATACCCTATGTTGCTGTCTCTGGGGTAGTTAGCACAGAGGGGCAGATATTATTGATGTTTCTGCCCCTGGGGAAGTTACTGTATGATATAACCATATGTGCCATTGGAAGAGTTCATTTTCAGTTTATTTCGTTTACCTCGTAAACTTCGTTCCATTTGGGGTGCAGGCTCTCTTTGACGGTCTTGCTCTGGAAGAGCTGGTTGCCAATATGGATGACACCGTAGGGGTCAGACTTCCCCTTGATCAGGCCACCCAGGAATGTATCCTTCCCTTCCAGGTCCTGAGCCTCCAGGAAGTGAATCCTCAGGACTCCCTGGTGACACACACAGCACAGGGACACTTTAAAATAGGACACAGCTAAACCTTAAATGGACATTGCACTTTCAAATAAAAGTTTGTCAGATGATTTCAAACCTCTAAAGTAGTCTAATTGTACTCTAAACCTCTAAAGTAGTCAAGATGAAACCCCGTCCCACAACATCGGTTGTGTGGATCCATCTATATGCCTCTCCTCCAAATGAATGGAAACCAGGAAAACAAGGAAATTAGACAATGCTTATCTTTTCCATTAATTTGGGGTGAAGGCATATAGCTGGATCTACACAACCAATGTCTTGGAATATGGTTTCATCTTGATATTAGTCTACCTTTTAGTGTTTTGTTCAATAGTCCATTGTTTATATAGTCCCCAAAAATGTGCATGCCAAAATACTAAACAAAATACTAAAATATGTTTTTTTGAGTAAAGTGATCCTTTAATTAGTGTGTGAAATATGATGATGATGTATGATTAGATATAAGACAGGTAAAAGGCTGCAGTACCTTTGGCATAGGGAAACGTAGCTGAGCCAGTTCTACATCCCCCACCAGTGGGATAGTGATGCGGTTGGGCAACACCAGGTAGCTGTAGATAATGTCCTGAATCAGACTGTCAGAGAAGCCACTGAGAAAAATGAAACACAACAAACCCCACAGTCAGTGAGTACAACCTTGGGATAAAAATATTCTCACCTAATCTCAGTTAAGCACAAAGGAACATATATTTTTTCCATTTTATAAGATGGTAGGAACATTGGAAGGGGTTCAAGCATGTTGCTGGAGTAAGCCACAAACCTCGAAATATCAATGTGATCCACTAGGGAGTCAACACTTAGCAGTGACATTAAGGAGGTCTTACGGCCTGAGAATTACAATGCCTGGTTAAGAGAAGTCGATAGCTATAAGTGGTCTAGTAACTGCTGAGATTTTCTGTAAACCTTGAAGCTATCCACTTGGGCCTAATTCTGTACACAGAAATAACTGCATGAGAGGGTTGAAGCCATCTGTAAAAATTAAACATAAGTATATATCGTTTTATGAAAAGGCATAGAACCAATGAAATACCCCCACATACATTCCTTCACACTTTCTCACTTATTTCTCTAAAAAACATAGTCATAATTGTATCCTATCATCTATTTTGCAGCTGAGCAGAGAGATGGAGCACTTCTCTGTGAGCAGATTAAGGAGCATTACAGGGAACATGATTCCTCTTTAGTGTGTGATCAATCACGAGGAACACATCCAGGTACACACACGTGCATGAGCGAGGAACACATCCAGGTACACACACGTGCATGAGCGAGGAACACATCCAGGTACACACACGTGCATGAGCGGGTGAGCTGTTTTCTCTACTCTGTGACGCAGCAGACGCCACCCCTCCAACACGCAGCTGGCACTGACTGTCGCTTGTTGTTGGGAGCTACAGACAGTAGCTTACAGGCAGCTTGGTGGCAAGTACAATTCTGTATTTAATATTACAGTACACACAGTTACAATACTGTAACATTTACTGTATTATACTGTAAAAAAAAGTCAATTCTACTGTAACCGGAATTAATTAATGGATGAATGAAATTCATTGAGGGGAAAGGTTTGTATTTCACAGTATTTTACTGTAATTACAAAGGATTGGTGCAAGCAGGTTGGCTGCTAGGTAAAGGGTTTACACATTACAGCATATTAATTAATATTTGGTGTTTGATATCACTTGCACTTCTAGAGGCCTTAACAAAGGTTTCCAATCTGGCAGTGACTACAGGGCAAAACAGACCAAAAGGACATGGCATTATGCTCAACCATTTAAGGTTTAATTACTGCCACTTCAATCCATCCCCTACACAAATTGATGGGGCACTATAACAACATAGGAGTTAAATTGGTAGAGCATTCTCACTCACGGGTACAACAAATATAGCCTCTTACAAGGCATGCCTCAAAATATGTTAATGGCCCAGAAACAACAATACCATGCACCCACTTTTGGTCAAACGTTTTTTGGCGCTCCAAAGGTACGGTACGGTACTCTGTGGGGTGGAATTACACTCACAGCAATTATTCAAAACACAGCAATTATTTTCCCACCCACAACATTTTCCCACAATGCACCATAATTTACAGTATGCTGCAGTAAAACATTTCGGAGTATTTTACTGTTGATAATACCCCAAATTACCATATAATTTACAGTTTTCTGTTACAGTGTAGTCTCTGTGACTGTCATTTCTTTGCTGCCCGGGTCTGTTCTGTCCTGTCACTAGCCCACAGGCATGCCCCCCTTGTGGTGCACCTCACCTCACCCCACCCCCCATCCCCTAGCCCATGAACCTGGCATGTGAGCCTCCACAAACAGGCCCACAGTGTACTGACTTCACAGATCTATTACACCTCTACAGAGAACTAGTGGTGTTGCGGTGGGGGGATGGGGGGGAGATGATTTCCGTCACTGAGCTGTGGATGTGTCAACACCCGTGTCTAAATAAATAGATTGTGGGGAAGAGAGTGGCTGTATCATGAAATCTTTATTAGGGCCTTTTTTTCCACCACCACATTAGTGTTTACATGAGTTTAAAGAGCAGAAGCCACTGTCAACTCACAACCATATAGAAACTAAGAAGTGAATGTGGATAACAGAAATGATGCCTGGGTCTGCAGAGAAGACAAGGGTTATCTGCTCTTCAAATGGCTTGAGAACATTGTAATGGTCCCTTTACCAGCAGGGGGAAACCTATTTTATTGAATCCATTGGCTTATGGATGAGTTGTGCTTGTTTCACCAGCCATCAGTGCTCGGTCTATGTGACTCAGACGTATCATGTGTATGTTGTTGCTGTACGTGTCTTGCTGGTGAGTGGTGACAAATCCTATTTGCTCTTGTGGGATTCAATTCAATGCAATGCAAGTAGTAGCACTGCCATACCCCAGAATTTTTTGAAAATAACACAAGAAAAGTGCTTACTTCTAAGCCAATGCCTCTTTACAGTCATGCCTATTATATTCTACACTAAAGCGTAACAGTTACTCTCAATAAGCAGACCATCCAATGTTCTCTTTCATTTAAATGAGCCATAAGAAATCCCCAAGTCCCCTCCCCATTACCCCATAATTTCGGAGTTGAGAGGCAGAATAGAGTATTTTAGCAACCCTAGAGAGTTGGTGGAGCAGCCCAACTTACACACTATAGATCTCTATAAAGTCAGAGATGAGTTGCGCAAATTAAAATAACAGCTTGTTCAACCATAAAAACCTTATTGCTTTCTGAGCTGTGTGAGCTTTATTAGTCTCACAGCTCGCAGGTGCTGCCAGGCAGGTATGTGTTGGGATGAGCAGAGCATAATGGACTGAAAGCCTAACAGCCGTAGGGCGATGGTCACTCTAGTTTAAAGGGGCAATCTGCAGTTCAAACAATAACAAAGCCCCCCCCAGGGATGGGGCTGGAGAAATGTATCCACTCTCAAATTCATAGATATGCTATGGATGCAAAGACTCACCATCCATGATATCAATATGATAGTTTATACAGTGTTTGTTTACAACTACACTGTTAACAACTAAATGGGAGTAAAACAAGTGTATATTTTGGGTTGTGATGGGATATGACTGCTGAACTAAGCTCATAAGGCATTTCTACGTTATATTTTTCAAGAATCAATGTGTATATATCATTAATATAAAAGTCCAAAAATGGTTGTAGATACCCCAAAAAGTGTTGTACCTAAAAGTAGTGAAAGCTTTGCCTGACAAAAGAGGGTGTAGGGTGAATTTGAAAGAGGGTGTAGGGTCAGTTTTACATTTTCCCCACTAGTGGTTAAGGTTAGGATTGGGGAGGGGAAGCTGATCCTAGATCTGGACCTAGGAGAAACTTCACCCCGGAGCACAAAACTGACTCAATTTACTTACTTGAGTCCAGGAATGTCTAGTATATTGGTGAGGCCTTTCCAGTTGATGTCCAAAAGCTAGATGAAAACAAAATACATTTTGATTTAGCGGTCTGGAATCTGGAAGAACATGCTGTACACAGAACGATTGAAAAGCCACACCTGTGCTTTTATTTTTTACTTAAATTATCTCAAAACATACACCATCTTATAAAAGGGAACACAGGGACACTAGCCAGAAAAAGTGGGGAGATCAAGTAAATTATCTAAATTGATTCAAGCACTTAACTTTATTGTTGTGTGACTCCTGTGATATAATTACTCACTGTCAGAGTGAGGGAGGGTGTGTCGGTGCAAAGCTCTTTATGATTCAAAACAAAAGATAGCATTCCGACAATGGCAGCAAAGTAAAACAGAAGCCAAAGGAGCTAATTGCCTTGCCTCTTGATAAATAAACCAATTTCCTTGGAAATCTGACAATTTTACACATGACAAATGACAAGATGGTGTGCCAACAAGCATATTTGTTGCTGCAATTTCACCCTAGTTTCACCCTATAGTTAGCCTGGTGGAAGCAGCCTTATCGCTGCGTTCCGTTTCTGTGGTAAATACCCAATAGAAATGTATTGTTTACGAACAACAGAAATGTATTCTGCTCCGTTCTCAACCCCTGAGCTACCTACCGCGTTATCATGGCTATGGTGTCTCAATATACAAAACAACACACAAAGACGGTGAGACATACAGTATATGTATGCAATCAGGCTGGATCTAACAATCAGGCTGGTTCGGACAAGTAGTAACTTCTAAGCCGACAGGTATTTTTTGATTTATGCTAGTCGGAACTTTGATGTGTCTCTTGGCTCAAGGAATCGATTTCAATGCGTTTTTACAGCCCCCCCTCTTTGTGTGTTGCCTACACTGCAGCAGATATAGTGTTGAGCAAGGACTGTCCGGAACACTGCAAGGCAATCAAAGTAGCCAATTCCATATTTCCACTGCATGGATCAGTACCAGTGTTTGGCCCAATACTACATGTTGCCTTTTGTATATAACACTGGTGCTTACACCCAAAGAAGGTTGGAGTGACACCAGCTGCAGTGGAGAAGCCTTATAGAGGGGTACTGTAGCGTAGCAGTGAACTGGCAGAGCAGTGTGGGGCAATTAAGGCTTCTTCTCCAAGCATAACATTTATCAACTCATGGAGGGTCCTTGGAGACCATGTACACAATGTGCACCAATTAAAACAGCTGAGCATTGCAGAACTTGAGTAGCCTTCCTAAGGGTGTTTTCCCTCCAGTTCTCTGCGTTTCATCTCTCTGGCAACACAGCACAGACAAGGGCATCGCCTAATATGGTATCCTCCCATCCACTAGTTGTCTCAGAATGTTATTTTATTTGGCAGTCAAGACCGAACCATTTAAGAGGAGAACGAAGGGTTGTCCGCTTCACTGTGAAGCATTCGGGAGAATATTTTACATAGTCCTACCCCCTACATCGGAGAGAAGAGGGACCCTTTTTATCCTTTACCTCAACATTTCTTCCATAAAATGTGTTTTTCCCCCATTATTAAGATGACAGATAACAGAGATAAAGCAGGCCCAAGGCCACAGAAACAGGAGCTGCTTGTCCACAGTCTGTGGTCTGCTCTCAAAGAAGATGAATTCAACTCAGATACTGTATAATTAACACCCACTGCGTGTCTTGTGTCCCAACATGTAAAACACTGTGATTTACAGTCTTACCACTACACTCCTCCTGCTTCCTCTCTCTGATGTCTACACTGAGGCTGGTATAGGCAGTGCAAAGAAATCCACCAAAGTAGGACAAGTCTGATCTGTGTCTATTTAAGGCTCAAGTGTCTCCACTCGGGACTTGTATCTGACTTAAATTGGCCAAAAGTTTAGGCAGAACATAGGCCTGGAGGCTCAGCACTACAGGAAGGAAGACAGTTGTCACGGATTCTGCCGAGACTGCCCTTCCTTCTGGTTCGGGCAGGCTGCGGCATTCGTCGTCACCGGAATACTAGCTGCTGCCGATCTATGTTCTAAGTTTCTATGTTCACCTGGTTGTTGTCTAGTGTTGCACACCTGTTTCCCATTATGGTATTATGTCCTTCCCTATTTAACCTGTTCGCTCCCACTGTGTGTTGTGCGTGTTTGTTGCTTGTTACGAGTGTCGTTTGTGAGCGGGTTTGCTCCTCCCTGTGTTTGGAGGTTTTGCTTGTTTCTTTACTATTCAGTAAAGTAGATTTTCATTTCATTCGGTGTCCTGCGCTTGACTCTGGCCTACCGCATTCCACAGACATTCATGACAACAGTGATGAAATAACCATTGTCAAACAACTGTCTTGCAAGCTGCTAATGATGCAAGTTACCTTAAATCCAAATAATAGAAAGAGGAAGTGTGTGTCAAGGCTAGAACTTACAGGTTTCTTCAGGAAGAACAGAGACAGGGCTCCTATCAGGGGCATGTCACCTAGCAATGGCTCCATGACTACTCTCAACACTCCATGGAGCTGTGAAACACAAAAGAGGCATCAAGACAAAAACACACTCGCTCACAGAGATAAAACAGAAACACACACACACACACACACAACCACACACACGACACATCATTAAGGGAGCTTTCAGTATCAGGGAACCTAAACACTGTAGGCCCTTGACCCACCTAATGACCTGTATGGGAACATTCCACTGTGGACGCCGCAGCAGACACATGACATGTGCCTCCAGAAACACTCCAAAGATGCCCCCCACACTACTACTGCATTACTAATCAGGCATAACATATCTGTCATTCTCAACTTCCTAAACAGATAGAGCTAATTATATCTCTCAAGACAAGCAGTTTGTTTAAGTGCTGATACTGTATATGAGCAAAACCGGCCACACTATTATTTTTGTTCAATCGACATGAGTTTAAAACAAAATGTTAATTATCCATATAAAGACCCCAGTGTCTATTGTCTGTCTCAATTGCTGTATTTATTTGTTTAATAAAAAAATACAATCACACACAAAAATATGACAGGATTTAAACTCCCCCTCAAAGACGCTAAGCATGGTGTTTCCAAACTCCTCTATAAGATGTACTGTGAGTATGAGAAATGTGAGCCGGTACTTTATAATAGGACTTTGTGAAGTAAATATCTTTGTGGAGTAAATATCTTTGTAGGATGATACTAATGATTGCTTTTCCCTGCCAGCTATGTTTCACTGCTGCCTGTTATGCAATGACCAAAGACATATAAACACTTGTTTTGTTCAAGGCCTACTCTCTATTTTCTCCCACACATATACACACACAAGCAGCGTTCATTTAGTCAACAATAACTATGACAAAAAATATTAGTCAACAACCTATTTTTCCTGAGGAAAACGAGACGAGATGCCATGAAAGAAAACGATAACACTGATGCCAGCCTTGATTTACCATATAGGCTACAGTACAAAGCCTTGGCTACAGGTTAACAGTTTATGCATACAGCTCTTTTCTCCCAATCATAACCTTGGGATGGGGGTAAATAACAGTGATTCCATAAAAAAAAGGGAGAATCCGAGCTTTCCAACAATGCCAGAGTTATTACTGTACTCCTAATACTCAGCAAATAGAATTCATATTTCCTATAGTGAAAAAACAACTGCACTCGCATTTTGCCAACTGCGAGAACGGCAACACGGATGAATAACAGTGCACATGGCAAAATAGAGCTTCTGATGTGATCAAAGCAAAAATAGCCTACATGAAAGGGAGTAAAAATTCTTGTTTCTAGTTGAGGTTTGTTACAATTGAAGAGTCCTGGCTGCGCATCAGTTCAAACGAGTGACTGAAGTGACCTCCCGGGAGCTGTAGCCTTTGGGAGAGCCAAGCAGATCAGCTCAATCAGACTGTGCAACTGAATGTTGTTAATTCTGCCAATGAGAGGATAGCATAAAATATTCTGCAAAAGGCATGCATGCTTATGATTGGACAAAACAGATGAAAAGGAGCTTCATGTCAAATTGAATGTTTATGGAATTCTCATCTCGTCACATTTTCGTCAAATATAAATAAAAAAACGAGTTTGTTATAGTTATTGGGTTTTTTCATGGCATCTCGTCTCGTTATCATCATTAGTTTTCATCAGGAAAAATAGATTGTTTAATCATATTTTTTGTCATAGTTATTGTTGATGAAATTAACACTGGCTGGCATTGGTTACAATCTGCCACAATAGCAATGTTGCCCACTATATGAGGGGATAGTAGGCCTAGTTGGACAAGGCTATCTTAATGTGCACATGATGGAAGTTAGAGGTAAATATCAATTATTTAATGGGGTAAAAAAATGCACTGACTAATAGGTGACTTAAATGACTGGGACTAAAACTAGACTAAAATTGTCCCAAGTTTTAGTCGACTGATAATAACTAAAATTAAGAAGGATGACATTTTTCAAATGTGACTAAGATGAAAAGGTATTTTAGTCAAAAGACTAAGTCTAAAACTACAAAATTAACACTGCACACAAGGTAACTGATCATTTACATTTACATTTTACATTCACACACAGTATATTGCTTGCAAGTCATTGCAATAAAAACTGATCTAATGTTGTTTGCAAGCCAGTGTAATTGAGCAAGCAGGCATAATAAAGTCACTTTTACATGCAGTCAAAACATTTGTTTGGAGTTTACTGTCCTCGACTCTTCTGAACAGGTTTCCAGTGACATTATCAACAATCAGAGCATCCATTACAGAGTTGTATAGTTCATATATATTCATGCCCCAGATCCAATTCCGACTGCAAGTGAAGGGTGGTTTGTTAAAGTTTTACATCCCTAAGAAATGACATTTGAAAAACCTATCACCCAAAAATTAAAACGTTATGTTTTTATGTCTCTAATTTATCCTAAGACAACAGAGAATGAGACAAGAACATAATGTTATTACCTGTATACCCGTAATACCAGCTTTGCAGTAGTATCTTTTGATGTCCACATCAATTTCAGTATTTCCAACAAAACTGAAAGAAATGTTTAGCATCATCAAAAATCACAGGAAAGTGTTTATGTATGTTATTCAATTAAAAAATATATATATACTACACACAGTACATTCTATGACAAGCCAAAGGCTACAATCTGCCCAAAATGGAGATAGTCAGGTCACCTGATCTGTAGGTCCATGATAATCTGACGCTTGTCCACATTCTCTGTGTAAACCTTGACCCCGTTGATCCTTAAAGGCTTAAAGACGAACACAAGACAAATGACATCACAACATTACCACTAGGCCTCAGACCCCCACTTGTGTTCTACCCAGCATGAAACATCGCCACTACTATGTGACCCCTCCTGGAAACTATTTGGGAAACACCCACCAGCTGTCCCTACAACACAGACACATGCACAGATACAGTTCTAGGGGTGCTTGAGCACTATAAGAAAAGTGTAAGAGCTGTTTGAAAAGAATGCCTGAAATAAGCCTGTTTTGGTGGGATGGAGCTTTGTCCTTTCCAATGTGACATCACCATGCAGTACATTTGTTAATAAGAGAGAGTTCCAAACCTCTCTGCCAATAACAGCTAGTTTTCCGTTTTCCCCTCCCCACTCCCAGACAGTCCTAGCAAAATTCTTGCTTGAGAAACTGTTCTTTGCGAAGAAGCTATTTCTGTTTATTTTTGACCATTGTAATCGAAAAACAATCACAGTAAAGTATGTAATTGTTACCCAGAAATGATTTGATATTGAGATAAAAACGGCTGCATTGGACCTTTAAAACTAGATTGGGGAGGTTTGAGTGCCTGTCCCCAACGGTTGAACAGTCGAAAACCATCTTATAAACATAAGGCAGGGTTAGGTAGAGACTCCTGCTGATAAGTCTTGATGTTCACCTTGTCCCCCATGTCGATCTTGCTGAAGCGGAAGGTGCTGAGGTGGGAGTTGGCTCCCTTCACGGCCGGCTCAATAGTCTCACGGAACAGCTTCTCTACGAACTGGCAAATATACGGCCACATCTGTCTCACAGTCTGCAAGGCCAGAGAGAGTAGGAACGGATCAGTGAGTTGGTACCGGGCCCACATTCTGACCATCATACAGTAAGTCTTCACAGAAATGTAGGAAGCAGAGTGAAGGAGCTGAATTCACTGAATTCATTATTTAATATCAGATCAGGTCCCATATTCACAAAGTGCCTGAGTAGAAGTGCTAAGTTTTGCCTTTCATGGAATAAGACAGGTGAGACCTGGTCCTAGATTAGCACTCCTTCTCTTAGACTGAGAATACAGGCCCAGCAATATCCTGAAAGTGATGCAAAAGCATTTCAATCAGTTTTATCATTCACAATACTGGGGAAACTCAATACATATATTCAAACATTTTAATTGTTATCTGCTCTATGTTATGTACGATAAATATTTGAAACTTAGGTCCCAGGTCATTACCTTACACTCTTAGAAAAAAAGGTGCTATCTAGAACGTAAAAGGGTTATTCAGCTGTCCCCATAGGAGAAACCTTTGAAGAACCCTTTCTGGTTCCAGGTAGAACCCTTTGGAACCTTTTATCTGGAACCAAAAAGGGTGCCCCTATAGGGACAGCCGAAGAACCCTTTTGGAACCCTTTTTTCTACGCGTGTAGGGAACGGCTTAAGAGACTTTTAAATCTGACAGTCCTAAGGCTTAAGAGACTCTAAATCTGATTAACTTCCTGATTTATGCATAGAGTATGCTGCAAAAACAGAGCATATGTTAAATAACCCTCAGTCAGTGTAGATGAAAGGGAGGAGACAGGTTAAAGAAGGATTTTAAGCCTTGAGACAATTGAGACATGGATTGTGTATGTGTGCCATTCAGAGGGTGAAAGGGCAAGACAAAAGATTTCCGTATCTACACCGCTAATCCAAACATGAAAAGTAGGTCCTCATCAACATACAAGTGGAAAATCTAACAATTCCTTTTTGTTATTTTACCTTGTTCAGCCACTCTACTCTTTCTACATCTGGGAAGTTGACCTAAAGAGAAAAAAGTAAGAAATAATTACTGTTTACATGCTCAAAACCCATTTTCTAGTACCTGTAGTCACTGATTCCATCTTAACAACCACATTGTACATTGTTATTTTAACTGAAATAGCTGTTGGACATGAGATATTCTGCCTAGGTCCAGCAGAAGTCTGGCTGTAGCCTGCGTTGCATCCCAAATGGCACCCTATTGCCTATATTGCACTACTATTGACCAGGGCCCATATGGCTCTGGTCAAAATTAGTGCACTATGTAGGGAATAGTGTACCATTTGGGACGTAGTCCTGCAGTCTGCCTGAACCCCTCCTGGCTATTCCAAAGATATAACAGTACTGTAGCTGGAGCTGGAGCTGGCCACTGCACACAGTATGAGCATCAGTGAGAGAGAGGAGAGCCCTGAGCATACACACTGCCCACATACTGTACCCACACGTGCACACACACACATAAAACAAATAACACTGGCTCTCATAAGCCAACAATCATCATAGTCTAAAAGCAAAACTTTTCTAATGAGGCTACGCCTTTTCAGAACAACACAGAGGAAGTGTGCTGTCATGTGTTATCCCCTTAGGAGCAGCGGCTCCAGCGGTGTAACCGTGGCAACGACATTGCATGCGAGAGCTACAGGAGGCAGAGATGCTAATGCAGGTGAGAAAAGCGCTGATCCAGCATTAGCGTGACAGCGTAGAGGAGCATAGGATTGGACAGTAAGAGGAGTGGGAAGTAGGGAGATAAACTACTGATGGGTTTGACAGATTCAAGCCTAGCTTTTTTACCAGCCTCTGTTATGCAACCAGGAGCACTCAAGTGGACATGGTTTCTATTAACCTGACACATACTGTAAAGCAACCAATTCACAAAATAGCTGGCAGAGGATAGTGCCTTACGGATACATAATTTACTCAACAAATAAATGAGTGATATCAAATTACTGTGCAACTGTCAAGAGGTACTTCACACCTCACAACAGAAATTGAGAAGCAATTTAAAATGCAGTACTGTCCATTTAAGTGGATTGAATGGGGATGCTGTTATATAACTATGGAAATACTTTCAAAGCATATTATAGAAGCAACTTGGATCTACTTAATATTTAAAACATTAAACACCTGGAGGTATACAACTCCATTAGAGTGGACATCAATGTGACTATCCCCCAAAGAGATTTGGTTGTTTTTCCGTACTTGAGATGATGCTTGTGTCTCACAGGAGCCTGAATAAGTAGCAGGATTTTACATTAGTGTAGGCAGTGCTACGCAGCAGCCTGACTCACAGCATACGTATTTTCCAATCAAAACAAACAGGAGCAGTCGGCAATCACTATTTTAAGGTATGACATTTTAGCTATGTTCTGATGCAACTCACTCAGCTTGTCTCAAGGAGAAACCTATAGGAAAACGGTTATAGATCATCTGTTATTACACTGCTGTGTTACATGATCTATCCCTTCCCTTCTACTCACTCAAAGGTATATGCACTGAAACTAAGGGGCATTTGTTGCAGCCAAGTAACTTGCTCTGTCATATCCTCACATGGTCTCTCTTATCATTGCTATGCGGATGATACTCAACTACTTTTCTCCTTCCCCCCCTTCTGACACGCAGGTGGCGACACATCTCTGCGTGCCTGGCAGACATCTCAGTTTGGATGTTGGCCCACCACCTCAAGCTCAACCTGAGCAAGACGGCGCTGCTCTTCCACCCGGGAAAGGCCTGCCCGCTTCAAGACCTCTCCATCACACTTGACAACTCCATGGTGTCCCCCTCCCAGAGTGCAAAGAATCTTGACGTGACCCTGGACAACACCCTGTCGTTCTCTGCAAACATCAAAGCAGTGACTCACTCATGCAGGTTCATGCTCTACAACAGCCGTAGAGTACGACCCTATCTCACACAGAATGCAGTGCAGGTCTTAATCCAGGTAAGAAGGGCTCTACATAGAACCATATATAACATTTCCCAGCATCCTCTTGCAGGGAGATTTTCAGAATGGTTTGTTTTACTGTAATATCTGTGTTTTTGCATGTACATTGATTGGTTGATACATTTTATGCTACACAAAGATGAATAACATACAGTTTTCTAAACTAATTAAATCTGTTAGTAATTGGATTTATTGCCCCGTTACTGAGATGGTTGTTTTAGTTTAGAGTACTGAGGTAGTCTCAATATTCAATCTTCCCTACCTTGGCAGTCATTCTGAATGAAGTTTGCGGGTGATTAACAATTCCACTTGTTCGATATCCTAACTCTGGCTGGATTCCAATTGGAATTACACATCACTTTGCATGCCAGAATAATGTCACTTGCAGGCCTGACGTGGCCTGTAAACCAGGAGTTTCCTAACACCACTGTGTTACGGTATAACTAGGCCCTCAAAGAAAGGCCTTATGATATATGTAATGTATTGTCATAAATAATTACCGTAATTTTCGGACTATAAGCCGCACCTTTTTTCCCATTTTTCGACCCTGCGGCTTATATAACGGTGCGGCTAATCTATGGATTTTTACAGCTAACGGCCACTAGAAGACCTCCTAAATCTATGGATTTTACAGGTTACAGTCCACCAACTTTAACTCTATGGGCTCTATGACCGGTCCGCGCCCCCCACCTTTAAGCGGCGGGCTCCAGCAGGAAAAGCTGGAGGCCGGAAAAGAGTGAGACAGGTAGCGCGCAAAAGTAAAAGTGGAACCGAGAGTGGTACGAGAGACAGAACGAGAGCAAGACAGACAGACATTACGAGAGCGAGACAGATTGTCTCTTTCCCGACAATCCCCTCTGTGCACGAACCCTTACATATGGTAATTAAACATTAAAACACCTGCGGCTTATAGTCCAGTGCGGCTTATATATGTACACATCATTCAATATCATTCAATTTAGCTGCTGCGGCTTATACTCCGGTGTGCCTTATAGTGCGGAAAATACGGTACATTTTAAAGGCTAATAAGGCTGGTGGAACCGTTCATAGAGGGTTGTAGGAAGTACCCTCCAAAAGATAACAGGGTTCTCGGTAGAACCCTTAATAGACGGTTCTAGGAAGAACCTTTAGATGCTAAAATGGTTCTTGGTAGAACCATAGCCGCGGGAAGTAGGGATGCGCACCCCCCTGAAAAATAAGAATGTTTAAAAATATATATTAATAAAAAATAAAAAAAAATTAAGTAGTGCACTGGGCCTTTAATAGTCCTGTATTAGCAGACTGATATAGCCGTCTGCAGCGCCAGCGTGGGCAAAATGATTTTTACTATATAAACTTGCACCTGTCTTTTCCTACTAGTATTGACTTTTCTGAAACTTATGTATTGAGAAAAATGTATTTACTACGACTGTGATATGTGGTTGTCTCAGCTAGCTATCTTAAGATGACTGCACTAACTGTAAGTCGCTCTGGATAAGAGCGTCTGCTAAATAACTCAAATGTAAATGTAAAATGCATCTAAACACAAATGCACAGATGCAAAGGTGGAGACTGTGGACTGTGGAGTTCAATTCCAATCAAAAAAGCAGGAGAAGAACACATTATACTAGCTTGACAAGGAGGTGGGCAAGTATTAGCTTTGTGCCTATTAGATCGCTCTATGGGCCCTGGTCAAAAGTATTACTCTATTAAGGAATAGGTGTATTTCTCAGTGTGGTGGAAGAGCAACTCTGAGCAAATGTGTCTCCCAGAGGACAGGAAGGACAGGAAGCTTTAGTATAGCTCATGGTTTCAGATACCTCCTTCTCCCCCTCCTCTTCCTCTTCCTTCTCCTCCTACTCTTCCTCTTCCTTCTCCTCCTACTCCTCCACCTCCTTCTCCTCCTCCTCAGAAACACAACCCAAGTGTCACATTTCAGCGTCTCAGTGACCAGCTGGTAGTGTCCAGACTGAGGAAGCTGAGCACCAGCGGTCAGTCTCGCCTTCAGTGCCTGAGGCGTGCCTACGGCAGCCTGCAAACAACAGGGCACAACACAGTGTAACCAGTCCAGTGCAGCACAGCAGTGACTAGTGCACTCTGATGAGAAAACACTAATATACTGACTCCCTGAATCGTTGCTGCTGGCAGCTACCTGTGTGGAGTGGCACTGAGGCAGACATTTCATTTACTTTTAAATTGAGTTAAGTCATCTTTAGAGAGAACTTCAGAGCTAATTTATCACACTAACTCCAGCAGGGTTCTATACACATTAAAAGGTGATGAAGTGCCCGCAACAACTACAGTGGGGGAAAAAAGTATTTAGTCAGCCACCAATTGTGCAAGTTCTCCCACTTAAAAAGATGAGAGAGGCCTGTAATTTTCATCATAGGTACACGTCAACTATGACAGACAAAATGAGGAAACAAAATACAGAAAATCACATTGTAGGATTTTTAATGAATTTATTTGCAAATTATGGTGGAAAATAAGTATTTGGTCAATAACAAAAGTTTCGCAATACTTTGTTATATACCCTTTGTTGGCAATGACACAGGTCAAACATTTTCTGTAAGTCTTCACAAGGTTTTCACACACTGTTGCTGGTACTTTGGCCCATTCCTCCATGCAGATCTCCTCTAGAGCAGTGATGTTTTGGGGTCTGTCGCTGGGCAACACGGACTTTCAACTCCCTCCAAAGATTTTCTATGGGGTTGAGATCTGGAGACTGGCTAGGCCACTCCAGGACCTTGAAATGCTTCTTACGAAGCCACTCCTTCGTTGCCCGGGCGGTGTGTTTGGGATCATTGTCATGCTGAAAGACCCTGCCACGTTTCATCTTCAATGCCCTTGCTGATGGAAGGAGGTTTTCACTCAAAATCTCACGATACATGGCCCCATTCATTCGTTCCTTTACACGGATCAGTCGTCCTGGTCCCTTTGTAGAAAAACAGCCCCAAAGCATGATGTTTCCACCCCCATGCTTCACAGTAGGTATGGTGTTCTTTGGATGCAACTCAGCATTCTTTGTCCTCCAAACATGACGAGTTGAGTTTTTACCAAAAAGTTCTATTTTGGTTTCATCTGACCATATGACATTCTCCCAATCCACTTCTGGATCATCCAAATGCACTCTAGCAAACTTCAGACGGGCCTGGACATGTACTGGCTTAAGCAGGGGGACACGTCTGGCACTGCAGGATTTGAGTCCCTGGCGGCGTAGTGTGTTACTGATGGTAGGCTTTGTTACTTTGGTCCCAGCTCTCTGCAGGTCATTCACTAGGTCCCCCCGTGTGGTTCTGGGATTTTTGCTCACCGTTCTTGTGATCATTTTGACCCCACGGGGTGAGATCTTGCGTGGAGCCCCAGATCGATGGAGATTATCAGTGGTCTTGTATGTCTTCCATTTCCTAATAATTGCTCCCACAGTTGATTTCTTCAAACCAAGCTGCTTACCTATTGCAGATTCAGTCTTCCCAGCCTGGTGCAGGTCTATAATTTTGTTTCTGGTGTCCTTTGACAGCTCTTTGGTCTTGGCCATAGTGGAGTTTGGAGTGTGACTGTTTGAGGTTGTGGACAGGTGTCTTTTATACTGATAACAAGTTCAAACAGGTGCCATTAATACAGGTAACGAGTGGAGGACAGAGGAGCCTCTTAAAGAAGAAGTTACAGGTCTGTGAGAGCCAGAAATCTTGCTTGTTTGTAGGTGACCAAATACTTATTTTCCACCATAATTTGCAAATAAATTCATTAAAAATCCTACAATGTGATCTTCTGGATTTTCTTTTCTCAATTTGTCTGTCATAGTTGACGTGTACCTATGATGAAAATTACAGGCCTCTCATCTTTTTAAGTGGGAGAACTTGCACAATTGGTGGCTGACTAAATACTTTTTTCCCCCCACTGTATTTTAACAGAGCCCTTTGGGAAAATGTGTCTTAGGAGAGAAGTCACAAGGCATGACAGTGTGACAATGCCAACATTTAGGATAAAAATATGATGTCACCACATGTTTTTCCCCTTAACCAAATTAGTAGTTACCTTGTCAGCTAAAAGGACAGAAGAGACAGCCAAACAATGATACTGTCCTAGTTTGACACTTGCTGAGCAGATGTCAAGCAGCTTATAAATTATGAATAATTCTAATTTCCCAAGTATAGGCCTAGTTGATGTCTTCAACTTGAGTCAGATGGCATTATTGTCAAGTTGCATTTAAGTTGGGGGTTTCTCCTATGGCCCTACACTTTGCTAGCCTGCGTGCCAGACTGTTTGTGCCATCATGCCAACTCCTTGTCACTCATTGTCATGCCAATGATAGTACAAACAGACCTGGAACCAGGCGAACAATAAGTGAGGTTAGATTGGGTGCATCTTCCAGGCATAATCATGCATGCAAAGTGTTGTTAGTTACCACAACAGTGGCAGAGCAATGAGATTGGGGCCCATGTGTCCCTCCCACCCTGGTGTCCGGTTTACCATTGTACCATGCTGTATTTAGAGGGGCTTAGTCTAATGTCACTGCTGGGGACAGAACACTGTTCTGTCTTCTGATCACCGGGTGATGGTTTTCTTAGAAACTCAATAACAAACAAAAATATTCACGTGTGCTGTGCACTCGGCTTATTTGGGTTATAGAAAAAACATGTTCAAATACATTTGATATAGGCTAATCAAATGTGGTAGTCATATAGCCATCTAATAATCCAGAGACTAATTGAATAGGGGGATAGAGATAACATGCTATGCACAGTTACAGTAACCCAAAGGCTCCCTTCATAAAGTAATCTTGGTCTTACCCATGATGGCAAATCAGAAGTTGTCAGACTTTGCTTGACAGTTCTCTCCTCTTGTTCAAAGAACGCCAAGGCTCTGTACAGTCGGGTGTTCTTGCCTCCTGTGTTTCTCCTCCACCAGAAGAATATTACAAGTCCTATTAAGAGCCAACTGAAACTGAATTCAAAATATCCCAAAACATATATGGGGAAAATGAGCAGGAATGTCTTTGTAAACTGAATCCATGTCTGAGTTAGGTCACCAACGGACGACCCAGACGTGTCATCGACGATGTTTGCCGGTGGAAATTCGTTTGTATTGGGTTCGGTGTGAATAGGGCTCGGTGCGTTTTGTCCATTCTCCTTTGATCCAGCGGAGCTCCCATTATGTGCATGGGCGCCTCGTACAGCCGTCATACTGTCTATTGACGTTCGTTTCTTTGCGCCCTCAGTTTCAATGGGATGTTAGAGTAAAGACCTCAATAACAGAGGCTTCTTCTATTCTTTAATAAACTGTCACCAATGTTCAACCTCCTGCGCAGCGCGCACAGACCCTCTCCGAATCAACCCCAGATTGCGCTCACGTTAGTTCATCCGCATCCGAGCTCATTTTGCCCTGGAAAAAGTGGGCATTGATTATTCTTCCACGCTGCAATAAAGTCTATGATAAACCATTTTACTCACATACGCCTAATTTTCTTCTCTCATTCTACAATAATATCACGCTGCTTTCCTCATACCGTGTTGAGTTTGGGTAGTCCTCCACTTACCAGAACCTACAGCAGCCGCACTCTTTGAACGCACGCACTGCTCTCCCTGCGCACGTTCGCGTTCTGTACTACTTCAAGGTCGTCACTAGCTTCTATACCAATCTGCTCCCACAGTCATAAAGTCATAAACCCCGCCCATTTCTACACTCAGATTAGTCTTTTTTTTTTAACACATCTGTGTGTCTAGTTAGGGACGACACATGTTGTGTTACTTTTAACCCAATCACCGTGTTGGCAAAACATGATTTGTGTACATTTTTCAACACATTTTGTGTCAATTCCTGCAAGTAATGTGTTAAAAGTGGAACACCATACAACACACCCTAGATGTGTTATTGACCAATCAAAATCAGCTAGTGGAAACCCTCCTTCAGGGAACTGTAGGTCAAGGAATAGCTCCATCATGTGATAGAGGCACAAAATCGCCACCCCGTGCGCACCAGCTGTAGAGACAACTGCATATTTCATGAACAGCAACATTCTCTAGCCTCATCATCAGCTCTGTCACACATCAATAAGAGCTTTGAATAGCTTTCAGTGGGATTGATTCACTACCTCCGCCTAATAATAATAATCATCATCCTCATCATCATCATCATTTTAACTGACTGGCACCCAGGCTACACTAAACAAAGCCAATAAATGCTGATTACAATTTTTTTTTTTATCTTCATGATGGTTATGGCTTTACATTATTTATTTTTTACTTGCCCATAAAAATTGAATTTAGTAATTTCAGAATTTAGTAATTATATTTCAATGGACTTGCCATAATAAATAGATGGATCTGCTATTGATACATCTGAACTGTGTATCTATCCATGCTGATTCCTTCTTGCTTGCAGAAATTGCTATTCTATTGATTAAAGATCCTGTTGTCAAGAGAACATGATGCATTTACCTTAGTGTCAGTGCGAATCGAAATCTGCTGTCATGGCGCTGGATAATGTCAACATAAATTCGTAAGCTTTAGTTCTGAAATCAGTCTAATATTTCACAAGGAGGAACATACAGGCGATAACATGCATCCCGAGAAGGTAAACTGGTGACTAGATACACAACAATTGTACAAGTGCATTCGGAAAGTAATCAGAACCCTTGACTTTTTCCACATTTTGTTACATTACAGCCTTATTCTAAAATGGAGCAATCTACACACAATACCCCATAATCACAAAGTGAAAACAGGTTTATAGAAATGTTTGCAAATGTATTAAAAATAAAACACAAAAATACCTTATTTACGTAAGTATTCAGATCCTTTGCTATAAGACTCGAAGGAATTGTCCGTAGAGCTCAGAGACAGGATTGTGTCGAGGCACAGATCTGGGGAAGGGTGCCAAAACATTTCTGTAGCATTGAAGGTCCCCAATAACACAGTGGCCTCCATCATTCTTAAATGGAAGAAGTTTGGAACCACCAAGACTCTTCCTAGAGCCTGGCCAAACTGAGCAATTGGGGGAGAAGGGCCTTGGTCAGGGAGGTGACCAAGAACCCGATGGTCACTCTGACAGAGTTCCAGAGTTCCTCTGTGGAGATGGGAGAACCTTCCAGAAGGACAACCATCTCTGCAGCACTCCACCAATCAGGCCTTTATGGTAGAGTGGCCAGACGGAAGCCACTCCTCAGTAAAAGGCACATGACAGCCTGCTTGAAATTTGCCAAAAGGCACCTAAAGAACTCTCAGACCATGATAAACAAGATTCTCTGGTCTGATGAAACCAAGATTCAACTCTTTGGCCTGAATGCCAAGCGTCACGTCTGGAGGAAATCTGGCACCATCCCTACGGTGAAGCATGTTGGTGGCAGCATCATGCTGTGGGGATGTTTTTCAGCGGCAGGGACTGGGAGACTAGTCAGGATGGAGGGAAAGATGAAGTACAGAGAGATCCTTGATGAAAACCTGCTCCAGAGCGCTCAGGACCTCAGACTGGGGCGAAGGTTCACCTTCCAACAGGACAACGACCCTAAGCACAGAGCCAAGACAACGCAGGAGTGGCTTTGGGACAAGTCTCTGAATGTCCTTGAGTGGCCCAGCCAGAGCCCAGACTTGAACCCGATCAAACATCTCTGGAGAGACCTGAAAATAGCTGTGCAGCGACACTCCCCATTCAACCTGACAGAGCTTGAGAGTATCTGCAGAGAAGAATAGGAGGATCTCCCCAAATACAGGTGTGTCAAGCTTGTAGCGTCATACCCAAGGAGACTCGAGGCTGTAATCACTGCCAAAGGTGCTTCAACAAGGTACTGAGTAAAGGATCTGAATACTTATGTAAATGTGATATTTCCGTTTTGTTATGTTAATAAATGTGCAAAAATGTCTAAAAACCTGTGTTTGCTTTGTCATTATGGGGTATTGTGTGTAGATTGATATGGAAAAACAACAACAATTTAATCAATTTTAGAATAAGGCTGTAACGTAACAAAATGTGGAAAAAGTAAAGGGGTCTGAATACTTTCCGAATGCACTGTACGTGTGGCAAACATAGAGATAGATAGGTAGGTTAGCTACACTTACGTCTCCAGGCATTAGTTTGCTAGCTAGCTAACAATGTTAAAGCTAATGGTAATGGTAACTAAACCTTTTGTCAGTGGTTATAACGTTACACCAATATTCTTTGCAGCAAAGTCAGTCTTTGTAATTGCTGTGCGTGTTGTCAATGAGAATAATGATCTATTAGCTACTTGTCGAATTTGAAAAAAAATAACAAAATAACATACTGATTACCTTAGGAGGCACATAACTAGGGGTACCGTGATAAGGGTAGCTAAAATGTTTATGATAACCTTGTCCCGATTGTATCAAGTGCAATGTTCGTTGTCAGGGTGGAGGGCATGATGAAGACTTTGGCAGGAGGAGAGATGAATATGAGAGAAGACACAGGACAGAGGAGTCCGTGGAGCGACACCATAGAGACCCAGAGAGGGAGGCCGAAAGGGTGCAAGAGAAGAACAGAGAGAGAGACAGCGCCCGAGAGAGGACAAAACCCAGAGACAAAGAGAAGGGCAGACATCAATACAGAAGGAATGACGGCTCGAGAGACAGACAAAAGGGAGGAGCGAGACAAAGAAAGAAGAGAGCAAGAGAGGGATAAAGGCACAGACAATGGCAAGTACAGCGATGGGGACAGAGACAGACTATATGATAGAAAAGAAGAAGAAAAATGGTAGAGAGAGTAAAGGCAAGAGTAATGGATAAGGAGAGACAAAGGGAGAGGGAAAGAGATGAGCCGAAGGAGAAGGAGAGAGACAAGGAGAGAGAAACAGGTGAGCGGGACAGGGAGCGAAGGTCTGAGAGAGATAAAAGGAGAGATGAGGGGAGGGAGGGAGAGACAGGGATAAAGAGCATGATCGTGAGAGGAGAGATACATATAATGTGGTCCTCTGTAGCTCAGCTGGTAGAGCACGGCACTTGGAACGCCAAGGTAGTGGGTTCCATCCCCGGGACCACCCATACACAAAAAATGTATGCACGCATGACTGAAAGTCGCTTTGGATAAAAGCGTCTGCTAAATGGCATATTATTAATGAGAGGGAGTATCTGAAAGAGAGAACGCTACAAAGATGGATTGCAGGAGAAGCAGAGAGACAAGGAAAGAAGAGAAAGAGATTCAGGACAAAAGGAGGACTAAGGTACAGTTATCTAGGTGAAAATTGTCAACATCTTACTACCTCACTAATCATAGTATGTCATTACATCTTTTTGTTGTTGTTTTTCATTTTGATTTCAGAATACAGGGAGCAACGTAGAAAATAGAAGGAGGAGAAACAAAGGAGAAACAAAGAGAGAGCACAACACGGAAGAGTCTTCAATATTGTCCAAAATTAAATGTAAGGTAACAACACCACAAACAAAGCCTGACTGGCTCCGCTGGCTCACACTCTGGGGTGAAGTTTCCCCTTCACTGAAAAAAAGGTTCTTATATAGTTCTTTCTCAGCTCTTAAGGTTCCTTGGAGAACTCTTGCCCGATAAAGAACCTTTGAGTTAAGTGTGGGGTTATTGACGTGGCATCTACGGTCAGTGGCGGCTCCTGAAAAAATTATCAGGGGGGGCAATTTTTCTGATGATTTAGGTGACCTACACACATTTTAAAAAAGATATGTCCAGCAACAACATGAAGACAGGGGCAGCATATAAGTCAATACCAGAAGCATTTATTGACTGATCTCAAAAGTGTTGGCTTACCAGGGTTGGTGGAGCCCTCAGTTTCATCTTTGCCTCGCAAAGCTAACTCAAACACTCCGCAAAACTTCACACACTGGATTAGCCGGCTGAGGATGTGGCGGTTCTTGCTAATGTCGTAGTAAATATATTTGTTATAGTGAATATGGAATATGATATGTTGAGTAAAATGTTGTGCTAAGATCTATTTAGGTCAGGAGCTGGTTATAAGTTCTGTTCCTATCCAATAACAATGGACAAAAGGGTCCTATCTTGTCAGCCTTGTCAGCAGGTGGCCAAGGACAACACCCACGCCATAGGCCTCTCAGTTCTTCCAACTCAAGAGTTCTTGCTCTGAGGACACACACACACACAAACACACACACACACACACACACATCATCACTGTTAAACACACACACACACACACACATCATCACTGTTAAACACACACACACACACACACAAAAATCCCCTCTCTTAGGCTGAACATTTGAAGACAGAGAACCCGACTCAGAGCCAATGCAACAGTGACAGTAGCCTGGAGGTGACCTCGCCCAACTCATCAGGACCAATCAGAAGATCAGAACTACTAGATTGAACCTACTTCATTTATTGCATAAAATGTCTGCACACAATGTTTCGGGGCTCTCTTCAGATAATAATAATAATAATAATAATATGCCATTTAGCAGACGCTTTTATCCAAAGCGACTTACAGTCATGCGTGCATACATTTTTGTGTATGGGTGGTCCCGGGGATCGAACCCACTACCTTGGCGTTACAAGCACCATGCTCTACCAGCTGAGCTACAGAAAGTGGATACTCATGGATGCGCATTGCAATTGTAAAATGTCAACACAATTGGAGACACCACGTCATTTTTGGAGACATGTTATTGACAGTAAACT